GGGATCCCTGCCGAAGATGGGGGCTGATGGTGACGGTGGGGGTGGCCCTGAAGGAGGTGGAGGTGGAGGAGGCCTAGCCGAGCTGACGGTGCGAGCATCACGAGAGGGAGAACCTCTAGGAGCCCTTCCCTGGGTTAAGGGATCAGTGTCTCCAGATTTCTCCCATGGTCCCGTTCCGGCGGTCGAAGCAGCGCCAGCACTTGAAGATCCGCAGGCAGCAAGAGGTTGCTCCCTCAACTCAGCGATCTGCATGTTGATCTCATTGACCCTCAGCACAAGCTTCATAAACTGCTCTTGCATGTCCCTCGGATTGGGGCCTAAGCTTTTGTCATGAAGGTCCTTGACGCATCTAGCAATACGGGACAATTGAAGCTTGAACTCTTCCTGTTTCTGTGAGTTCTCATTGAGAGCTCCGGACATCCTATCACTGAACTGCTTCAGGTCGGTCGCAGGAACGAGCTGCTGGATATACGTCTCGACGTTCCCACGGATGGTTCTTTCCCTTGAGATGGTTCCCTCAATGTCGATGACACTGCGAGAGTTCGCCTCAACTTCGTCCTTGATTTTCCGAACCTCAGCCTCAAGGGCCCCGATCTCAGAGAACCTAAGGAGCTGGACCTTGACGTTCTCAAGTGATTCGGCCTGCTCGCGAAGTTCAGCAGCGGATATGACGATCGAGTCAGACCTCTCATCATACATCTTGAAACGCTCATTCATCTCCTTCTCGCTTCGGGCGACCCACTCGTGGAAATCACGGAACTTGGCCTCGTGTTTTGAGAGAGTTCCGGCAACGGCAGAGAAAGATGATTCAACCTTCTTCTCGAAGGCGTCAACACGGTTATTGATCTTCTTGATCTCACCGACGCAAGCGTTGACATCATCCCTACATGAACGAATCTCGGTTCTGCATCCCTGGATTTCGGCCTTGCACCCCTTTACCTCGTTGTGGATCGCGAGAAGCAGTCGTTGAAGCTCAGATGCAACAGGATGGCCGCCACTTGTGGAAGCAGACGGAGCAGGACGACTATCAGCGTCATGATCTCCGCGCCTATTTTCTTCCCTGTCAGGAGTGCAGCCCGGAGTTCCAATTTGAAAGAATGCGGGGACGAGGGAGTTGTTGACCGGTTGATTTGAAGGAAGCCCTCCATGACCAGGAGCAACAGTGCTGAGTCCAGGTCTCCGATTCCTGGGCGTAGAGTTAATCCCGTCATCAGTCTCCTTCTCAGACATCGGGGCATTGGAGCTGAGCCCAGACCCCGCAGAGTGGATAGGAACGTCAATAGGATCGTGATGAGCTGGGGGATTAGATCGCAATCGCAAAGCAGCTTCACGTCTCTCGGGTGACTCAGAGCTCCTCTTTGTGGCTCGTGAGTCAGTGCCGGTTTGTCCCGACATGTTATCAAAAGATGACGACCCGCGAAGTTGAGCTTGATCTGGATCAGGTTGAGTGAGATCAAGCCGTTGAGCAACGTCACCAATGAGTGGCTTAGGGGAAAGTACTTTGGCAACGCGGCTCGGCGGGAGCGATGTCGTTCGTCTCTCTGGTGTGACCTCGGCCTCATCGATTACATCAAGGATTCCAGGGATGGTTTCATCATCTTCATTTCCTCTCCTGGGTGGCTGATGGAAGGGGATGTCGAGGAGGTCAAATGGAGTGGAGCCAATACCAGGTGTATCCTGCTCGGATCCATCGCTGGTACGGTGGCTGGACTGCTCCTCGAGGTCGATGATGTCGGGGGCGGACTCTTTTCGAGTCTGACGCCGATTGAACGCCGCGAAGAGACCGGCATGGCTTCTTGACGAAGAGGAGGAAGGATTTGGGCCTGCTGTTTCGCGGCCCACATCCGATCGATTAGTACCTGATGTCCGATTTGGCGGATTTGAGCCCGCGTTGTAGCGGTTCGCATCCCGACCTCGGGTACCTGAGGAAAGCGGTGGATTCGGACCAGCGTTGTAGCGGTCCGCATTCCGGTCACGGGTACCTGACAGGTGAGATGATACTGCATCAGGGATGAAGTCCATATCCGCCGGACTGGGGTGATCGTGAATGATGTCAATGTCGGATGAACCTGAGACGGGAGGAGGGCCAGCTATTTGCGGCCAATCCTCAATCGCCCGTTTGCCCACCTCGGGTTGGGCCGAACCTGCAACATGAGAAGGGGAGAAATCTTCAACGGGGTCATTTTCTCCATCATGAGGAAAACCCTGAGTAGGCTCATGCGACGGCAGGGCATCAAAGGATCTGTCAATTCGGGAAGGCTGAGACCTCCAATCAGCATCAAAAAGGGATTGAAAATCCAGATTCCCAACCGAAACGGGGGCACCCGAGTTAAAGTCGAGCCGACCGAAATCAGGCGGTGTAGCCTGCGATCCACTGCCGAGGAGTTGGTCAAACTGATCCCATGTAAGGGACCATGATTGAGCCGGCTCCGGATGAGCAGCATGATGGATAGCCCGGTCCTCGATCTGGAGCGCCACGAACGGAACAGTAGGCGAAATCGATGAGGGCACCTGATTTGGAGGAACCTCAGCCTCTTCTAGAGGGGGTCCGTCCTCGATCTGGAGCACTGCCGCCGGGATAGGGGCCTCCGCATCCTCATCAAACACAACCTGAGAAAGGATCCAATCGTCCGTGATCACCCCGGGATTGGGCTCTGCGCCCACCATCGGGGGATGGGCCACAGCCGGCTGTCTAAGCCGGAAGCAGCAGGCGCGGCGTTGCCGCGAAGGGCGTTGGCCTCGTCGTCCACGAAGCCCGGCCCACGATGAGAAGCTCCGGGGGACGCCATTGCTCGTACAAGTAGGCGATGGGAGCAGGTAGCGGGTCACGTCCCGCAACCGGATCACCAGCCCCAGCTTCTAGCTGGTACGGCTGATAACCTGCGGTTTTGGGCGAACACGAAGTAGCCCAGGGAATCAAAGGGGTACACGTGGTTCACGAAGTACCAAAAGAACCCAGTCCCAAAGCACAATGTAGAGGGTGCCGGTGACCAGATTGTGGGAGTGACAGTTAATGAAGATCAAGTTTGGGGAGGTTAGGAAACTGGTAGAAGAGGGTAAAGACAAGGGTCGGGCCCGGGAGCACCTCGGCGACCTGCCGCCCACCTCCTAGTGCCGAACAGCTGGAACACCACGGACCTTTTCCGCAATGGTGCAGCCAATCGCCGCACTATGGCGAACGCACGCAAATCCAAGGAAGTCCCGACGGGGGATCCAAATCTTGAGCCAAACGGCCATTCGGCCGTTTTGCCACATGATGAAACAACACGTGAACAAAACACAATTTTGAACCAAACAAAAGAAGGCAGGGGTTTCCCAAAAACGGGTATCTGGGTTTTGACCCACACCCTGATGAGCTTTGCCTTTGTCGCTCCCATTCGTCCCACGCGCGCGGCGACACCTGGTGACTTCCCCGGATTCACACACCCCAGCAGTTGATTTATTGATCCGGGGAAAGGAACCCCCTGGGTTTGGTAAAGATTCAGACCACTATTGAATACACTATTGGAGAGCCCCGACCCCCTATTAGTAGGATGGGTTTATGAATCTGGGGCGGACCTTAACAGAGACATTGCTAGAGGTGAGCCTCTTTTCTCTGTCCCACTCTCTTCGTTAGAGATGCAATCGATGAATTCTCTCTCTGGGGGAATTAGTTCGGCCGAAACGAGTGATAGTCACGGGAGATTCATCCCATGTTCACCACCTTACCCCTGAATGTTTAACAAAAAAACAAATGTTGTAAGTAAAAGTTATGACAGCATTGGAACGCCAACTAAAATATCAATTGAATATTTAGAATCTAAAATAGATGATGGTAATGCAAATATAATTGATTTAATTCCTGGTGGTTGGGTTTGGTGGACCTTTGGGGAGTTACCTTCCCCACTTCTCTTCAAAGGAAACCGGGGGTTCAAACCCCCCAACCACCACTCCCAATCACTAATAAGGTACCTGACCTGCACTTGCGCAAGGCGGAAAAACGACCGCTAGCACCTTCCAACCGCATTGTCCCACCAAGATCCGTCCCCAAGTACCAGGTCGGAACCCCAGTGCTGGAGATCCCCCGCGAAAAGTTGAGAACTTTGAGTGGGTGAAATTCGGAAACTGCCACACCAAAAGGATCTAAAAAGCTAAGTTGAACCGGATGGCTGGCTTCGCCACCAAGAATGGAGGTCTGAAGGGCAAGGAACCCAAGCACCTGAAGTGGGGTCCAAGGACAGGGACGTAAAGAGGAGATCGAAGTTTTTAGGGAAACCGCTTGTTCTTCGGCTTTAAAGGGAGACCGAAATTCAAGGACTTAAATGTTGGCTTCTTTTTTTTGCTTCTTTGGGGGGACTCTATTGTAAGACATGTCGGTGTTTGTTCGGACACCCCAAAATACTGGTTGTCCTTTGGGTCCCCTTTAAAACCACAACAAGCCAGGTCCCTCAAACCCCCCCCCCCCCCCCGTCTCCTTTCGAGGGCCGGGCGTCAATGCCGTTGGCTGCCTGAGGGCCGAGAAACAAAGGCAAACGCTCCTTTCCTGGACCCTCGGATGCGCTGAAGGGAAATGATTTGAGGGGAAACCAAAAAGGCTCTTATGGGGCCTGGTTGGCTCATTTCGCAGCGAAAGTTTGACCCCCAAAGCGGGAGAAGAAAAAAAAACTCCCGACAAACATGGGCGACACTGCTGAACAGGATTCACGTGGCCCACTTCCCACCAAAAAGTGAGTCGAGAGAAAAGAAAGTCGCCCCACCTGTCTTCCATTTGGTCAAGGCCCCTGGAGAAAAATCAAACTATGTCCAGTAGTGACAAATTCCATTTAAAACCAACAAGGGAAAATCAAAAAATATATTCATTTCAGCAAATGGAACCTTTCTGGCGGTTTGGTCTCAGGTCTTCGAAAGGTTCCGTGGCTTATCCTTTCTGAGGCCCAGGGAGCCTCTCCAGGTGTCAACACCCCCATCCTTTCCCAGAGATCGGCTCTTCGCGTGTCAACTTCGGACCCTGCAAAACATATTCAATCAAAGGAATCCGAATTCCGTACCTCTCGGGTGGTCAAAACAGGCGGGGGCACCCGCATGTTGTTTCAAAAATCACCCCAAGGGAGCCTATGTGTTAAATGGCAAAGGGGTGAAGTTCAACACGTCCGACAAGGAAGATCGACCTCAATTTGCTGAAGCCTTCTGCAAAAACCATCGCATATTTCCAGCAGTCGTGCTTGAAAGAGAGTTCCTTTGAAACCATCAGGGAAAAATCAGACATATTCTGCAGCAAATGGAAGTAAACTGAAAAAGCCTCCCCTGTCAATTAACATAGAACCCGGTCCAAAGATCGGAGATTCCACAGTCCAGTTAAATGGCGCTAACGTTTGTGGGGTCAATTCAGAAACATAACCACTAAACCAACAAACAAGATCTAAAAACCTACTGAAATAACTGTGGGTCAACACCAATGGTACCATTTTGGGGTAGGTGCACCACCCATTTTAGTCTACTTTGGTGGGGATTGGGATGTTCACTGGGGGGTAACCGGGATTTTGACCCAGGCCAAGATCGCTCCATTTGCTTAAGTCCCCTGGAAAAAATAAAAAGTGATAGATTCCCTTTAAAACCAACAGGGGAAAATAACAAAATATTCTTAACCAAATGGAAGGATCTAAACACCTACTTTTGAAAAAATAGATGGCCCTGGTAAATGGAATAACCCCATCTAAACCAGGGCCTTTTTTTTTTCAGCAAACCAACCAAAAAGGACACCTATGCTACTGAAATGCCTTGCCACTTCCGGAATGCGACCCCTTCTCGCCCTGTCGCCTGCATCTTCGCGGCGACCTGGGCAGCAGCTGCCACCGTGTCTGCGGGGTTCGAGGAGGACTGGGACCTTCGCAACCCGAAGGCGCGGGCGTCGGGCGCCGGGCGCGTCTCTCGGGTTTTATACGAGCGAAAGACTGGGGGCGAGGTGGAGGTGTCGTCCTTTTTGGGGGGGCGCCCCCTTATTTGGCGCGGGTTTAAAGAGAAACCCTTGAACAAAACACGCATTTTGGAGGCTTTTTGGGGGGGGGCCTTGTTAAAAAGATAAAACAAAAATACGTTGTGTTTGATTATGTGTTTCCCTGTAAAACCAGGCCAACTCTGTTTGGCGTGGTTTTAAAGGGAAACCAAAGCATAAAGCACAACAGTTTTGAGGTCATCTAAGAAAACATACCCATTTGGATATGACATATCGCGCAGGGCAAAAAGTGGCTCCTAAACTTCGGGATCCCAAACATTGTTGGCCTTTGGCAAGGAAAGGAATGTGTCTCACCGTCTGGAGTTCAGCCAAAACCAATTTCAGGGGGCCACTTTTTGGGGATACATCCCACTTTCAGCTTGTCTCTAGGACTTGGACCCCAAACATGTCTGGTTGTCCCTTTGGTTTCCCTTCAAACCAACCCCATGTGTGAGCTTGGTCTACAAAGCGAATACACACCCATGCTCCTCTCGGCGCTGTCCGAAACCCATCGTTTCTCGAGCTAAGCCTCGAGCCCCGAGGTGTCCGCGTCCTTCTTGCCCTTGCCCTTGCCCTTCCCCTTCGCGGGCTTGTCCGGCTCCAGCCAGGGATCTTTGAAGTTGTCCTCCTCCTGCGAGCTCCGGTTTCTTGAGGAAAAAAAAAATGAAGCCCAGAAATACGGGGAAACGTGGCCAAAGAACATTTCAAAAACCCAAAAATGTCCTGTAGAAATCCCAGCACATTGGCCAAACAACCCATGACAAAACATGAAACAGAATGTCATGTGGCTCTGGGTCAAAAAAGTGTACCCAAAATGGAACCCTGGTAAGTGGTAACATGGACTAAACCCTGCAGTCCCCTGGTGGTTTAATTTTGACCCATAGCCATGTAGAAATCCCAGGACATTCACAAATAAGAAACCAAACACAACTGCAGAATCTCCTAGAGCTGGTTTCCGGAGATTTGAATCAGCTTTCCAGAATTCTTGGTTCTATGACTCACTTCCTGAGTGGAGGGTGTGAGATGACTGTCTTATGGTGTTGGAACCCGTTTCACGTCAGGGTCGCCTGTGAGTCACCTGTAGCGTTGCCAGATGAACCAAAGGGTCTTTAACTGCTTCCGCTGGGGGGGGACCCCCAAAATGGCTTCACTTTTCCTCTTGGTGCCCCTTTAGGTCCCTAAAAAGTGTGCCGAGCCTCAAAAAGCAAGAACCTCCAAATCCGGGGAGTCAAAAGGCGAACCCTATGAATTCATGTCCTGGTAATCTCCCCGAGGATCATGTCGTTGATCTGCAGATCTGAACCCAAGGCACCCCCTTAAGGAGAGCTACATTTCTTCTCGGGGGTCCCTTGATTTGTTGAGGGGGTCAGTTTTCGGGGTCACTTTTTTCTTATTTTTATTTTTTTTTTGGGGGGGGTCCGTTTTTGGATACTTTTTGGGTGCGGTGATTTTCAGCTAGCCAAAACTCTGTTTTTTTTGCAAGCCAATACTTTCCGTCATGTGGCTCCCGACAAACAAGCCGTATATCCCATTGACCTGCTGGAAGTTAGTTTCAGTTTAGTGGAAACCATCAACTGTGTGTGTGTGTGTGTGTCTGGGTACGTCTATCGAAGCTGGTAGCCGATGCAGGGTGCCCAATACATGTCCCCGGAATGAGCATCGCCAAGGTGGTGTTTGAATTCAAACGGACAAAATGTAGGGAACCTTGTTGGGCCCCTGTCAAAGGCAAAGACAGATGGCCATGGGTCAAAACCCTGTACCCCCAGTGAACATCCCAATCCCCACTAAAATAGACTAAAATGGGTGGTGCACCTTGGCAAAAAAACATGAGACCTGAGAGTGAGAAGGCTTTCTTTTATCCAGATGGACCCCACAAAAAGGAAGCCAAAAACCCCAAAAAAGGTTTCAGCGGGTATGTCTCAAAAGCGGAGAGGGACCCCCCAAAATGAGTTCGGCTGGCCTTTTGGTTTCCCTTTTCAAATACGGCAAAAAGCCCGGCCTCAACAAACACCCACAGACCCGTCTCCCAAAGCTCCTCCCAGTCCCCGATCAAGAGCTCGCTCTTGGCCTGCTGGCGGTCTTGCTGCTGCCTGGAACCGAGAAAGACCCCCTCCCACAGGTGCCACGTTGGCAGGAGGCGACTCTTTTACTCTTCAAGGTGCCCAAAACCGATCTTCGAGGAGCTCCAATTCAGAAGGTGGTTGGACTTCTCGGTTTAGTCGAGGTACGGAAATCTCTTCTTTGCCCCAACAGCTGAAAGCTATGGGGTCTGGACATCGATCTTCCACTCCCACAAAGGCCAACGTCGGAGGAAGGGAAGTTTAGCCTGCTAAAAAGGAGGGATGCAAAAATGACTGGGAAACCTCTCGTCGCAATCAGTGCTTTGAAGTTCATCTCAGCGCCGTCCCAGACTCTGCGATTCATGAATCCCCTCGCGTCACACACGAAAATCAGCCGCTAACAATACAGAGTTGCTCAGTGGCCCTGGTAGAAAAGGGACCTTTTTAGGAGTTGACCCATTTTAAATCATTTTTTTGTGAACCCAAACAACGTACAAGGGGTCCCAGCAAACAACTTTTGTATGAAAGAAGTGACACGCTCAACTCAAAGTGCCCCCGGACAAAAACCAAGCCGCGTTCGAGGGGAACCTTTCGCTTTTTTCTGGCCTGATGACCTTCGAAGGCAGCTTGCCCTTGGTATGGTAGCAAAAACATATTATTTTTCTGCAACCCCCTAAACATGAACAGAACCAACAAAAACACCCACAAAAAAAAACAAACTCGCCAAGAACAGCAAAGCAAGGAGGTCCGGTTTGTGAAAGGGGGCTCAACTTACCCTCTCGCCAGCAATCCTCACCTCGGCAAGAAAGGACTTGTTGAATTCCGCCCGGAATCATCAAACGTTGAATGGGGACCTAAGAAAATCTGGTTGGCGACCCCGTGCCGCCCACCAACGCATGCAAGAGGCATGAAGCTATCATCAAAGTCAACCCCCTGGTTTAAAGGGACAAAACTTCAGCTATTGACTTGTTGATGCCCCCAGAAACCGTCAAATGGGTGTGGCTCAAAAAACATGAGCATCCCTAAACTGGCACCTTAAAAGACTAACACCTGCGGTTGTCCCTAGCTCTAAATTGTGTTTCTGAGTTCCCCCCCACCACCAACTAACATAGAAGTGCACCAAGCCCTTCATATTGTAGGGATCTATAGGCCTGCTCTTCTCGCTGTTCTCATAGGAGAAGCTTTTGCCGCCTCGTGTCTAGAAAACGGCTTGGAGGTGGTTCGAAAACTGTGGATCCCCTGCAAGATAGAAAAAAAGAGTACTAAAATCCACACGTCTTGCGCATGGTATCGGGACCCACCAGCCCAAAACAAAAAAACGAAAGGAACCGTCGGTCCCTTTGAAGCCTGCCTGAAAGCAGCTTATCTGCCCCATTGCTTTCAGCTGCTGCGGGGGGGGGGGGAACAAAACTGACCCCTCGGATTGTTCAACGAAAACACCCCGAGGACCTTCCCGTGCAGCTTGCACATGCCCATGGAAGTAGACCCTCTAGGGAACCAACTTGCCGGAGCTCAGCTGGATTTGTTTCGGAGCGTCGCTGAACTCTCAGGTTTCCACCCGAACCTCGGAACCTCAGCCTCAACTTGAGGTCCCAAACCTTTCAAGGTCCTGACTGAGGGTCCTTTAGGGCAAACCCAAAAGTGAGGGCAATCCGGGAAGCGGATGAATGTCTTGTGTCCTTTCCTGAGAACATAAAACGAGGGGTTGCCCGGAGTCCAAAACTTGTTGTGAGGGTGCTCGTTTTTGAGAAGGGTTAAAGGAACACAAAAAGAAAAACCACACATTTTTCGGAGTCCCCTCAAAAAACACCCACCCAAATGTAGAAACTCTCTTCTGCATGATGTTTCTACCAAAGGAAAACCAAAAGGACACCAATCCCCATGGCGGGACACAAGTCACGCCCCAATCCCTCGTGCGTCATTTGTGGCAGGCACCACCAACATTGGACGGAACCACGCAAGCAAAAAGCTTAGGGTGAAACTAAAGAGGGGTGCCCCTTCAGTCTCAAATCTGCGCCTCCAAACATGGGTATACTCGTCTGTTTAGGTCCATGAGTTTAGCATTCCCATGTTTCAAGTACGACAACCACAATAGACTACTGGTCGCCTTCTCATTCTTCACCAGACATTTCTCATGTACCTCCCTGAATACAGTTGGGTGAAAGTACAACTTACTTATATTGGTTTAGTCATCTCCTTTCTCACATAAGCATGGTTGTGTATGTGTCATCTACTTCCGCCATATACCCTTGTCCAACCATCATGGAGGTGAAAAAGAGGGTACTAAACCGAGATGGGGAAGGGATTGTGCCATGTACTTTTTCACCCAACAACAAATCCACCCGAACTGCTCAACTAGGTCCTTCAGTAGAGAGCTAAAAAAAGAAGGGTAACATTTTCTCTGTAGTCTATTTTAGTAGGGGAACCCTCCCCCAAAAAAGAAATGGTAAAGGGAACCCTCTCAAGGAAACAAAGTTAAAAGAAACGGTAAAGGGAACCCTCTCAACCAAAAAAAAGTTAGGTAAAAGGGCACCTGGGGACATAGTCAAAGGCGGCCGCGATTGCGCCGCGAGCTTTCGGTCCCGGGCCGAAACCGCCCCAGCGCTTTCGCTTCTGAGCCTCGGAGCGAGCGAGAGTTGGCACTTAAGGGTGGAGCCCCAAACTGGCGGCGACGGGGGTTCCTTTGGAATCCCGGAAAAAAAGAAAGCAAAAAAGAAAGAAAGAAAGAAAGAAAGAAAGAAAAAAGAATGAAAAGAGGTGCCAACTCCAAAAAAAGACAGAAGAAAAAGGGAAAAAGATAGCCAAAGGAGTGCCAACTCCACAAAACACCCAAATGGGTGTCGATCAAATATAATATAGTTGATCACCCCAAAATGGGGTGCGGGATCGATACATGGAAACAAGGACCGTGGTAGGGTAATTTTGACCCATACCCATACAACAACTGAGAGCAGTCAACCCTGTGAGTGCGTTTTAACTTGTAACTCAGGTTGCTAACCGCCTGCTTGGCCGAACACCTTCCTCCTTGCGACAAGCATGGAAGCTGACAGGAGGGTTTTAGAAGATTACAGCCCTCTTGCAAAGGCCTCTTGTCCACCTCGATGACTGCTGAAAAGAGCGAACCTTGTGCCAAAGACTAGACGAAGATCAGATTGTCGGCTTTGGGTAAGTATGTTCACACCTGGGTCCGCATTTCAACGGGGGAACCCTGTGGTAGGGCATCATTTACATGACTTGTTGTTGTCCACCAACCATGCTTGAGGGTACTCCTCCTTCAAGATGTATTGTACCCTGCAGCCCCAGAGTTGGTATGGGTTATTTCTGCTCTAGGTGAGCTCGCTGAACTGTTTGGTTCATTTCATGGTGCTTGGGCCAGCTTGGCTTAGACAAGTCCTGATTCGACACCCAAAAGTTCAGAAGCATTGAGCAAAAAATGGGGCCCACTAAACTAGCAGGACAAACAAATGGTTCGATCTCTTGATATGGGTCTGTCTTTTCTTGAGGGTACCCTCTTTCGTTGGTGTTAAAGGGAAACCACATGGGTGCCATCATGGGAAACCAACTTCTCTTTAGGAGAGCATGGGTTCCAGTTTCGGCGGGTTGCAAGCCTGGCAAAAAGGCTCCATGTCGCCTTCCCAAGAGCAGCTAGAGGCTAGGCAGATTCCTTCGACCGTGGAGCGAGTACAGATGGATTCTTGGGGGAGGCAGTTCTCAAGGTGCTCCCCTAACATGGAAAATGCTGAGGTGCCCTGAAAGAAAACCCCCCAAAAAGAGTGGCGGGTGCGTGGCGTTTCCCTCTCTCGATCTGCCGTAAACTAAAAGGGGAACAATGGAATTTCTCAAAAGTGATTCGTTGAAAGTGGGGAGCACCCCCATATTTTCAGACACCCCGTCTCAACCGGTGGCGGGAAACTTCCCTCCGGACATCTGCATCCCGCGGGACGCGCCTTGCCAGTGTTCACGGCCGTCTGATGCTCCTCACAGGAGATAGCGATTCACAGAACTCACGTCATTTGGCACGGGTGTGGGTGGTCCACAATGTCGAGCGTCAATTAGCTGTTCATCAACCGTTAAACTAGATGGCCTCTTTTTTGAGTTCATGGATTCGGCCTTTGAAACGCCGGCAAACACGGGTGAAGATCCGTGTGCACAGAAAAGGCCCATTGCCTTTACGCGAAAGCAACATCGCTTGTTCAAACAGCTGTCATCAGCACATGTGGCCAAGAATCCTTTGGTCGTCACAGCCCATAGAAAGAAACTTTAAAGCTTCTCTTTTGCCCTTCAAACGGCACCCTGTTTTTGTCGACCCTCGGGTTTCTCGATTCTGACCTCTCGTTTGTGGGGGTCCCGAAAGCTTTCGGTCGCGGAGTCCTTGGAAAGAAGACACGAGGGGCCATCCCTCTTACTCCTCAGCAGGCAAACGTGGAGATGTCCCACCTTTTTGGGAGGTGTTTGTATAATCAAGATCAGGCGCCCTGATGCCAAAGGCCTGGTCGCATGTGGCTAAAGTTTACAATGTTTACAGCTTGGTCTAGCAACCTGAGGCAAAGGGAATGAATGCCTGAAAGGGTTTTAAGACCCAAAAAAAAAGAAAACACCGTTCCTAACTCGAGGTTGTCGTTCCAGGAAACCCTAGGAAAAAGCACAACCACATGCAACTCCCCCCCTTTCCCCCGGCGTTTGGAGCCCGACCTCCGCGAGTGCCTTGAGCTTGGCGGGGATCTCTTGGTTGCACTGGCGCATGGCGTCCACCATGTCCTCGAATCCAAGCCGGGCCGCCGGGCGTGTTCCGAGTCTCGCCCTCCCGGGTCCTGGGTTTGGGGCTGTAGGTTGGGGCTTGGGCTGAAATACGTCGGGCCCATGGACCGATCCATTCTTTTGGCACAAGTTGGTTCATTTGCTCAAAAAACGGAACTTTACTAGGTCCTCCAATAGAGAGGTTCTTTTTTTTCCGAGTCTATTTCAGTAGGGGAACCCAAAACCCCAAAAACGGGTGAGAAAGGGTACCTAGCTGGGGGACCTAGTTAAGGATTCGTTCACATCGAGGCCATCGAACCATCGTAGGCGCGATTTCCCCAAACCCGATGGAAATACGTTGGACACATGGACCGATGGATGTCTTTTGGTTCCTTGGCCTTGTTTGGCTGCTCAAAAAATGGAATCCCCAAATTTTGGCAAGGCAGACGGAATCAAAGACGAAAGCCGTAACCCTGGGGCTTTAATTTTGAGCCACACCCATTCGGTTGGAGAAGCTTGGAATTGTTCGAGCAGCCGCCTGTGGGCGTCCCGTAAACCAATGTTGCGCATCTTGGAGGTTGGGAGAGTCGGGGAACAAGCGAAGTGCTGTGATTCACAGTTGGGTTGGGTCCAGTTGACTTGGTGTGAGTCTTACTGTAAAGCCCGAGACATCTGGTGGGTTGGGGTAAAAAACCCTGGGGGTCAAACCACCATTGAAACAATGGTTGGTTAGGTCACCACCATTATTTACCTAAGGATTGTCATCATCTACATTGGGTCAACCTTTGTTTTAATGGGGGTTGGGTAAAGACTCCTTCCGCAAATCTCTGACTTCTTTCCGTCCTGTGCTTTGTCGCCCTCGTCCGGCTGGATGAAAGTGTAGGCGAAGCCGGGCCTGAAGCGTAGCCATGCCAGGCGACCATTTTGGAGTTGGCAGGATGCCGGGGATGCTGGTGATGCTGGGGATGCTGGGGGATGTAGGGGGCCATTGGCATGCTTTGGTGTCCAAATGATGCAGGGGATGCGGAGGAGGACTGGGTTGCCTCCTTTGGGCTCAATGCTTGTTGGCAAGTCGGCAATTGGCGAAACAATGCAAGTAGGGTTGTCTCCCAGTGCGCTATGCCCAAAAACGTTGGGCTTGAAGTCTCCATTGAGCAAAAGGGTTCGGAGCAGTCCTGGCTAAGCCGTTTGAAGAGGATACCGTACCCTTTCTCCGTGTTTTGAAGGGAAGCGCAAGGAATATGTTGGGGTTGATCAAAAGGTCCGGTAAACATGAGGATACCATTGGGGAAACCCACCAAAAACATGGTACTTCCCACATGGGAAAGGTTGCCCATGGTTGTGAAAAAGGCCAAAAAGAAGCCTTATTGGATGGCGTTCAGACTCCTTTTAACCCCCCGTTTTGAGACAACCCCATGACCCCAAAATGTTGTCCGTTCTTGCGCCAAACATCACAAAATGCGGCGCAACTCCAAGCTATAGGGTGCATGACATGTCCCCTTTAAATAATATCACCTGAAGGGAACTAATCAACCTCCAACTCCGGGGCGTCTAGTTGGACTCGCGATGTTTTTTTTCTCGCTCCGGAAATCAAACACTCACCCGGGAGCCAGGTAGTGGTAATTCCTTTTCACTTCCTGCAGCCTCCGCCTATCAGTGGTTCCCGCCTCCATGGAAGTGTGGACAGTTGGAAACCGTCCTTTTTTCAGGTGGTTCTTGCTGCATCACCTCTATACGCCCCTGCAAATCAGCGAGCAACCCAAAAAGGCGGTTCCCAAAAAGGAGTTGCCTCCACAAGTAGTTGTTTCCATGACACCCCTCCCCCATCCCATCCCATCCCATCCCATCCCATCCCATCCCATCCCATCCCATCCCATCCCATCCCATCCCATCCCATCCCATCCCATCCCATCCCATCCCATCCCATCCCATCCCATCCCATCCCATCCCATCCCATCCCATCCCATCCCATCCCATCCCATCCCATCCCATCCCATCCCATCCCATCCCATCCCATCCCATCCCATCCCATCCCATCCCATCCCATCCCATCCCATCCCATCCCATCCCATCCCATCCATGCATCCATCCATCCATCCATCCATCCATCCATCCATCCATTTATGCATCCACCTGAAGTTCTCTTAGGGGCCCTTGGTATCCCTTCAAAACGTTGCACCGAAACTTGCCACAAGCAATAACATCTGCCGATTCTGATTCACATGGTTGTCTTTTTTTAGGATTTCCGGACACCTCAGTCTTCCTTTTGGTTTTCCTGTAAACCCACAAAAATGGGGGGTAGCCTCAAACAGAGACGAGCCACCCATATTTAGCCAACTTAGGAGACCCCGAGAAACGAGTCTGGGGCCCTCGCTTGCCCGCGCGCCCCGTGCGGCCCACTCGGTGGATGTAATCCTCCAGGTGGTCCGGCACCTGGGCGTCACCGGATCTTCCGACCCAAACCCGAGCGGACTTTTCTGGGCTGCCCGTTTTCAGATCCCCCGCTAAAAGTGACTAACTTTTAGTGGGTTAAAATAGAAACTACCACTAAATGGTTCAACCAACATGGCTATAAAGGTTAAAACAAGCCCAACGTCTCCGGAACCCCCTGAAAGCTGCCCCAAACCATGCCTGGGCCTGTCGACCCCCTTGCTTCCAGCTGTTGGGGATAAAAAAGAATTCCTACAACACCTACTAAACCAAGTAGTAGAACCACCTTTTGAAATGGCCCTTTTTGGGTGTTCACTTGAAGAGTAGCCTCCCTCCGAGCGGAAGGCACCTGCAAGATGGTTTGCCCTTCGGGCGCGCCCTGCGTCAGTTGCCATAGTGGGAGAGTGAGGAAAGGGTGGGAAAAACCCAATGCGTCGTGGGAAGGCTTCGTGAGCCACGCTCCGCAAGATTCCCTAGCGGTGGATAGCAGCTCCCCAAAGAGTTACCTCGGCCAGAGCACAAACTGCCTTGGCCACAAATCCCACGAGGAATAGACTGTTGAAACACGCACTAGGTGACCTTGGGCTTCCTAATCCTTTGCTTGCAATGTCGATTTTCGGGACATCCACTCAACTGAAAGCCATGACGGGACCTGCCAGGTCAAACATGGTTCACCCCAAGGAAAAAAACAGATATGAAAAACATCAAAAGGGTCCTTGCCTGAAACTCACCCTGGAGTGGATTCTTTCACGGAGATGGACAATGAATCTGATTCCCCTAGCTTCTTGGTTGGTTCCAAGGGCCAAGGATTCCCGCGACGCAGACCAATGCCCCGCTCGACGGCAACCGACGCCCCGTCGGAGGCGGCGAAGTGCCTTGAAGTTCACCACCAGGATCACGTTCTTCACGTCGATCCCTGGTCGGAAAATGATCGATATTCTGCCCCGAATAGGGGTGGGGAACCCCTTTTTTCGAGGTTTTGAAAAGGACGGCCAAAAGGAAACTAACCACCTGGACGGAATACCTAATTTTGAGAATCACCCCAATTGATGGAACCAAACTGAAACCAGCAGAATCCATCTATTTTCAAAACTGACCTTCTTCTGCACCTGCGAAGCTCGATCAAAAAGTTGGGGACCTCTCTGAACAAAACACTTGTCGGACCACCAATTTGCCGGCTGGCACCTTGGATCTCCAAGCGAGTCAGCTCCAAAATGTTCCAACAGCCAATCAGCTCTCTAATTCTTGGGCGCTTTAGATCGCCACGCGCGGAGACATAGCTACGCTAAGCCGAACTATGATCCAGGAAGAAGCGAGACGTAGCCAAGCGCCGACGTTGGCACATGCAACTGAGATGGTGCCGTTGGCACATGTCAAGTAGTCCGTCAGGGATGAAACCCGATGGTGTGGAAAGTGTGGTCTCAAGTTCTCAAGTCCTTGAACTTGGCCACGACCAAATCGTAGTCTTATCTTCTTTTGTCCCAAGGAACTATTTTGGCTCCAGTGGTGGAAAGGGTACGTAGGCTGTTAAAAGGCTTTCACTGGAAGGCTGTTAACGAAGGCTTTAACGTTTTGCTGGCTAAAAGGACATATGAAGGGAATGCAAAAAGATAAAGCCTAAAGATCCAACCCAATAGCGGTAGAGAATTGGTGGTTTGGAGTTTGGATTAGGGGTTTGGATTGGTGGTTTGGATTGGTGGTTTGGTGGTTCAGAGGTGCTTTTCCATTGGCCCTCTACAAGAACCAGGGGTTCAAATCCAAATCCAAACCATCCAAGCCACCAATAACCAATGAACAATGTGAGCATTGAGATCCCAAGCCTGCATCTGGCTGCTTCCTCCCTTCCCAGGTGTGAGAAAAGAGAGTCTCTGTTGGACCTCGTTGTGGTGGTGGTTGATAAAGATTAAGCAACACTCCATGAAAAAAAGGTGATAGCGAATGAAAGCTAAGCTCGCACCCGTGCAAGATTTTGGCAATGTCTCCAAAATCGCGGGGGACCCCCCGCCCAGAAAAATGAGTTTCCCTTTGAGCCAAGCTGTAAACCCTTCTAAGCTTGCTGGTTCTCAGCAGGCATTGAAGGGATGAAACCCCCTAAACTTCCGATTCATTCCCGACCCCCGGACTCGGAAAGTCCGTTTCCCCGCCTCTCGCACCACGTGGCTCACCCCCACTCTTCCCCCCAACCCGAGCGCGGACCCAAGACCCAAACGCCTCGGGCGGCCACGGAGGTGGCGATGAGGATGTTGGAGATGCCGTCCTTGAAGTCTTGGAGCGTGAAGTCTCGGTCCTGCTGGTCCTGCGCTCGCGGACGCTCGCGCAGCTCGAGAGGTCCTGAACCGGGCCCGTTTTCAGATCCACTAAAAGTTTTAAACTTTGGGTTGAATGGAAAATACCACTAAACACTAAACGGCTAAAAAGCCAAGGGGATGGCTGGGAGCCACCAAGTAAAGGGGAGGGTGGGGGGCCTGAACAATCTCTGAGGAAAACGGCCGTGGCTTCTCCTTCCGAGGAGGAGGAGTTTCGCCGTGGCAGGCAATCGAATTGCAACGGCTGTGTCTGGCTCTCGGTTCACAACGGAAATGCGAAATGCCAAATTCGCCGGATGGAATGGCAATTCCACCGACAGCGAACACTTTCCATATTTAACCGCGCAGGCAACCTTGAGGTGCCTCATTCCACGCCTCGAACTTTGCAAATGTCCAAAGCCGTGGCGGCTTCCATGGCTGCGCAGGAGTCATAGATGACCTTCCAGGGCAGATTGGCTGAAGAAGGATGCATGGGGCTGCTTTCAGCTTGGTTCAAACAATTCACCAACCTGCGCCATGGTTCTTGCCCGTAGCCTGCAGCTTGAGTTTCTACAAGGCAGAGGTGTACCCCAAAGCCCGTTGCAAAAGCAGGTGAGACCTGATATCTGAGCGGATGCGCTTTGTCCACGTGATGAGATTCAGGAGCTTGTGCTCTTCAATGAGATTGTCGAGCTCCAATTGCAGCTGCTGCAAATCCAAAGCTCTGACATCATTGGCGTGTTGAGCTTTCAACGCTCTTGCAAGTTGAACTTGCATTTTCTTTATGCGACGGCTTCTTTGGCATCCAGCTTCATCCAGTCGGTAGTATCTGCTCTGATTTCCACCGTGGTCAGTTAGAGCTGACCTTATGTCGGCATGGCTTGCCTCACTGAGGGCGAGTACTGTTCTGGCTGCTGCTGCTTTGACCTCCAGGCCATTTTTCAGCATCATGCGCAGAATGTGGCGGCAGCTTTCAGCACGGGTACACTCAGCTCGGAAGCATTGCGGTGCTCTTTGTACCAAGATCTCATGCGAGAGCTCTGATGCCAGAAACGCTGAGAGCAGATTGAGGATGCCGTCATACTTTTGGCCCAAACTTAGACGAGGAGTCCTGCACGTGGCGTCTACGCAGATACTCCCCTCTGCGTCAAAAAATCCGGTAAAGTAACTCCAGCCGCATTTGAAATTGGAAGGTTCTCCAGGAGACACCCTCTTTAGTGCCTTCATGAAGAAAGCCTTTTGAACCCTGGCGGTGTGATCCTTTGGCCAGCTTGCGCTGACCTGCAGCTGCTGAAACTTGTTGTAACAAACTGGAGCCAGTTGCTCGGCAGCATCTCTTGCAGGTGAGCCATGCAAGGCCCAGACGACCGTGGGCTGCCAGGCTCCATTCGCAGCCTTGCATGCACGCAAGCTTCCGCCAAACGCATGACCAAAGCGAGCCAGAACGCCAGCACTCTTCGCTGCCTGTCGCACCTCCAAGCTGCAACTACTCAGACTTGACGTTGGCCTAACACACCCATCTCCATCAAAAAAGCCCGCCAAGTACGCCAGCTCCTCTCGCGACACTGGCTTCTCCGGCTTCTCAAATTTAAGAGGCAGCTTGCACCTCACTCCCCCGATTTGCACCTCGTCCACTTCGCGTCCGGGCAGCTGCCGAAGTAGCACCTTCAGCCTGTCCAGTCGCCGCTGCCCGCGCGCCACCGGGGTCCAGGCGCTGGGGGCCGGTGCGCCGCGCGCAGATGCGAAGCACCGGACAGCGACATGGCGCGGCCACATGAGCGGACAAAATATCCCAAAATGGAGAAAACCAAATGCATGCAGTCACACAAGCTATGGAACGTTAGCGAGCAGCAAGTGGTTTATAAAACCTATAGAAACCAATGGACAGAACCTATTTCTAACCAAACTAATCGATCAAAAGGACACCTATGTTAGTGAGTTCATGTCCCAAAATGGCCATGACGGAACCTCACATGGCTCGCGACAGGAAGGCGCCAAGCTGCACTGTACTTCACAGCAATACGCGTGCGATCGTTCGAGGCGTGGCGTCCAGTCTGTGGAAAATGGTTGTACACGACAAAGCCACAGACCAAAAACGCAGAAGAAAAAGCCAAAGAAGCATCTAAGGGGCCCCGTGAGTTGCTCCACGGACTGCGGACTGCTCAAAGGACAGCCTCCCTGGCGAACGGTTTGGTGGCCAATGCTCGTGGTGCTCAAAACGCAGAGGACGCAATCTCATGCCGTCGTCGACGCGACGATGGCAGGGGATACTCAAAATATTTGGGGCTTTATGGGGAAGCCCACAGTGCTCTTGCGAACGGGTGTCCCTAGCCCACAAAAGGTTCCAAAAACACCCGAGGTGTCTCAAGAGGTCATCCGCAGGACGCTCTCAAAGTCTTCGGCTCTTCACTCTCCACACCAGGCTGTTACCTTTCCCAGTGCCTCCACGCGTTTCGTTTCGCCGCTATGGTAGGGAAGCCTTCGGTCGTTTACCTCTAGGTTCTACCATGGAGTGCTTCCCCTGGTTACCTACTATAGTGGCGAAACACCTGGAAGCACGAGCCCTCTCACCGCGCCTTGAGATACTTTTAGGCGGCCAAAACGGCTGGTGTCCTTTTGGTGGTCCTCACAAAACCACCCGAGTTCGGGCCCACCCCAAAACATACCATCCACAGTTCCTTCGCAAAAGCTAAAGCCAAGCTCCGCCCCGTTTTTGGGCTTTGTCCTGGCCGCCGTGCAGCGTGAGAGGAGGATAGCCGTACTTCAAAAGCTCCGTGAACATCTCGTCCACGTCCTGCCGAAACTGGACTGCCCGTGTTCAGATCCCCCGCTAAAAGTGACTAACTTTCAGTTGGTTAAATTCGGAAACACTAAAAATATAAAAAAAAAAAAAAAAAAAAAAAAAAAAAAAGCTAAGGAACCGGATGGCTGGGAGCCACACCAAGGACAAGTTCGATCGAAGCCCCAAAGGGACCTTTGGGCCGTGCGAGGAGTCGAGAGACCAAAAAAACTTGAGCGTGCGGCCCCGAGCCAAACTCTGTCTGATTCTGGCTCATGTTCGGGGGCTGTGTTTTTTGAGGGCGCCCTTTTTGGAGGGAAACCGAAAGGAACCCCACCAGTTGTAGAGTTCCCCTAACTTAGACACATACTCATGTGGCGAAGAGTGACATCCAGCAGCCGCAAGAAAGAACCTCGAGATCCCGGCGTGAGCTCGTGAGCCCCGGATTCCCCCTGGATGGGCTCAGTCCTTCTGCTGGTGCACGAAGATCATGATAGCACCTTGGCCCAAGCTTCGACCGGCCACAGACCTGGCCTTGACATGCTCAGGCCACGTGCCCAGCCTGGCACAAGAGCCTCACGTGGGGGGTGGTTCCTATGAGGGACCTGCTTCACTGGGCTGCGCTTTCACATCTGCGAAAAGTCGAGGACTCGTGGGATAAAATGGAAACCGAACCACTAAACCAACTCAAAAAATCTGAAAACCCAAGTTGAACCGGATGGCTGGGATTGCTCTCCTTTGGGAGATGCTTGGCCCGCGGAAAGCTACAGGACCCACAGGGATCAAAACCTTTCGGCCACCGACTCGACGCGGAAATCGCGAGGCGCCATGCTCGTGCCACTCCCCGAGGAGCTGCAAAAGGCGATAGAACTTCTGGCTCTCGTCCAAGACCTGCGAAGGAACCACCCCGCCGGCACTGGGCGGAGAGCCACCCGGGGGAAAAAACCCATCACAGTCGATCTCCCGGAAGTCGCCCGCTACATGAGGCTTGGTGCACAATGGCCATGCCGCATGGTGATTTACTTGCAGCAGGTGAAACTTGGTCTTTGCGTTTGGTGTGGTGTTCCCCAAGAGTGGCAGAGCTGGCTTTCTAGGTCCTCCAGTAGAGAGGTTAGAATCAGGCCCTTCTTCTGTAGTCTATTTTAGTAGGGGAACCCTCCCCCAAAAAAGGGGGAGAAAGGGCACTACTGGGGGACCTAGCTTTTGGCTCAAGAAGAAGAGAGGAGCCCAGTGGCCCACGACCGCAGTTCTACACTTTTTGGGATCCGGTCCCGGCCGGTTCCCCGAACAGGGAGTCTAGAAGACAACTTGCGCTGCGAGCCTCGAGCCTACAAATTTCACAGAGCAACTCCTTGAGCAGGTTGCTCCCAAGTCCATGGCAAAGGGTCCAAAGTTGGTTGGGTGTGGGTTTGTCTTTTTTTCAGGGTACCTCCTTTTTGTGGTAAAGAGAACCCCCCCAAAAAAGACGAAGCCATTTGGTGGGCCGAAAGAAAGACACAGCCGTATATACCCTGTATACATCGGCTGCGAGGGGTTTGTCTTTTTCGGGGGACCCCCCAAAATGGTGATTCTCCTTTTGGTTTCCCTTTGAAAGCCAAACAAAAGGTTGGGATTCCCCAAAAAAGACACCCCCACAACCTCCAAGAAGTGATCGCACTTGCTGGTTGGAAGGGAAAAGAAGGAAACCCAAAGGTGTCTTTACGGGCACAAAATCCTAGTTCAGTCTGGCACAACGTTCAACACGGCTTGCCAAAGTGGGTGTAAATCTCATTGAACCCTCAGAGCGCGCTCCTCTACAAATTGGGTCACGTTGGCCGCGGCGGCGTTGCGCTCTCCAACCTAAGCACCGCTCCGACCACTTTTCCCGGTGGCTCCCGACTATGCCAAGCAGTACACTCCTGAAATTTAAGAAGGAAAAAAATAAGAAGAACAAAACGAACCGCAAACGCCAACCGACACTGGGCTGCCCTCAGATCCCCCGCTAAAAGTTTAACTTGTAGTTGGAAACTACCACTAAACACTAAACGGCTAAAAAGCTAAGGGGATGGCTGGGAGCCGCCAAGAACAGGATGCTCCTTTTGCGGCGCCTTTTGTGTTTTTTTGGTAGCTGAACACTCTCTATCCTTGGAGGCATGTCTCTAGGCTCTCCGGGCGGTGTGTCCCTTTTGGCGGTGTATATGGCTGCGGGTCAAACATGAGTTCCCAAAATGGGCTGCCCGATCAGAAAATGGAGGCCACGACAATCTGCGCTCCGAGTCCTGGTCGAATTTTGACCCATACCCTTTACCCCTTTCTTGCGGCTTTGAGGGGAAACCAAAAGAAAAACCGCAAAAACCAAAGCAGTCTCCATCCAAATCCAGACGCCAAAATGGAAAGTCGGATACCCAAAGACCTGGATCCTCGATACCCACCTGTGAACGCGAAGCCCAGGTCTGAGTAGAACTGGTGGATGCGGGGGGGGTGTTACCTTTTGGTGTGGATTCACTCTTGGAGGGGAACACCCCCGAAAAGTATGGGTTTCGTGTTCTGGGTCAACATGTTGTAACTTTCCTTCATGAGCTACTGAACTGCAAACATTGGGAAGGCCCCACCCTTAAAGCACGTTGGACGTGCGGCAAGATGTAGATTGCGTGCTTTTCCCTTCTGCAAATGTAGTTGATGAAATTCCTCATCCTATCCTATAGGTATGTTTTTGTTGTGAGCCTTCTGGCTTTGGTGGGACATGTTTGAGTCCCCCATGTCCTCCCCAAACTGAGCCAATTCATCGTGACAGAACAAACATTGGGTGAATGTAAAAACCATTGGGTGGTCCAGAAAAAATAGTGGATTAGGTTCATCTCAAAACCGTCGGGTGAATGAAAAAACAAAAACAAAAACATTGGGTGTTCATGAAACCCAACACAGGCAACTTATGTCCGTGGCCCAAGCGCTTGCTTTCAGCCGGCTGAGATCCCGGTCAACGCCCAAGCCAAAGTGTGTGAGCCTCCGGGCCGAGATCTCCAGCGGCTTCTTCAGCACCTGCCAAAACGGCACCCGAGGCAAATGCTGGACTGGGACCACTGGGACCACTGGCTTCAGCTTTGGGCCATAAGGTGCTGGTTTTAAACCCACCAAGGGAAACAGAGAGGGACCCCTGGTTATTTCTAGGTCCAGTTTTGCGAGGTTAGAACAAGGGCGCCGGTTCTTTTTTTCTGCAGTCTATTTTGGTAGGGGGACCCTCCCAACCAAAAATGGGGGAGAAGGGGTACTACTGGGGGACCTAGTAGGTGTCCTTTTGATGGGTTGGTTTGGTCTAAAAAAATAGATGGCGCTGGTTTGGATGCTTGTTTTGTTTCCCCCGTTTTCCGGGGAACCCGTCTATTTGTCCCAAAGGCCACCGCTGCACTGGGATCAAGTCAAGAAATTCCAGGAGCCTCTCGGGGCCACAGAAGTTTGGTTGCCAAGAAGGGGAACCTAACATTCCTAAAAGGTCGGTCGATTCATCCAAAGGGACAAGCGAGACTTTGTCAGAACCCCTCCTTAAATGCCACCCTGGCTTCCCCTCCGGTGTCGAAATCAGTCGAACCAATGGGTTTGAGTCAAAATCGGGGAAACCCAAAATGGCATTGGTTTTCCTTTAGATCCTTTAAAGCCACAAACAAGAGGTATATGCCCTCATAGAAAGACACACCCAACTTCTCCTTTGCTGTCCCTTTTAACTCACCAAAAAACAGAACAAGAGGCGCGCAAAGAAGACTTGAAGAAAAGCCCCCCAATCTCCAATCAAGCTCCAAGCAAACTCCAAGAAACTGTTTTTCAATCGGACTTTAAGACCCAAAGCCCCACCAAAACCAAGAAATATTTCAACCAGCCCCCAACCCGACCAAAGACCAAAACCGTCGCGTGCGCCGCCCCCGCGCCACCGCCCCCGCCAGGCCTTGCGCGCTAGAGCCTCCACGTGGGCCGGCAGCGTGGCACTGAACATCGCCACCTCAACTCGCAATGCTGGGCCGCCCGTTTTCTGATCCACCGCTAAAAGTTGAGAACTTTTAGAGGGTTGAATGGAAACTACCACTATAGGCACTATACGCACTAGAAGGCTAAAAACCTAAGGAACCGGATGGCTGGGAGCCACCAAGAATGGATATTTTTTCAACAACTCACATGGAACCTGACGTTCAAAGGGTCCCAACCGCACGGGTTCCACCTTCTAAGACTTGGCTTCTTTTTTTGCTCCCAGCCTTTTCACGAAAGGCGCCGTGCGATGTTCTTTTTGGGGGTCCTGGTTTGGACCATACCCCCCCCCCCCCCGAACGTCTCAAAACAGGGGTCCCCAAAGATCCGCCGACCCCTTCTCCTCAAAGGGGGAGGCGTACGGGAAGGGCGGTTACAAGTCCAAGGCTGGCTGGTAAATGAGCATAACCGAAGATTCAACATCATCGTGGTGGTCGTCGCCGCTGTCCTTATCTTGATTATCATGATGACTGCTGGTGATGCTGAGGATGCGTCATGATGATTATCATGTCAGTCATCATCATCATCATCATCATCATCATCACGGTGCTCATCATCATCAGCTTCTTCGTCATCGTCCTTATCTTTTTTTATATACGTTTCAAGTGTCCCGTTAGACCCGATTTGAGATGCAGAAGATGCGTGACATGATCATGATGACTGCTGGTGATGCTCATCATGATTATCATGTCAGTTCATCATCATCATCATCATCAGCATCATCACGGTGCTTATCATCATCATCTTCTTCGTCATCGTCCTTATCTCTTTTTATATACGTTTCAAGTGTCCCGTTAGACCCGATTTGAGATGCAGAAGATGCGCGGACATGATTATCATGATGACTGCTGGTGATGCTGAGGATGCGTCATGATGATTATCATGTCAGTTGGTGTTCATCATCATCATCTTCTTCGTCATCGTCCTTATCTTGTTTTATATACGTTTCAAGTGTCCCGCTAGACCCGATTTGAGATGCAAGAAGATGCGTGGACATGATTATCATGATGACTGCTGGTGATGCTGAGGATGCGTCATGATGATTATCATGTCAGTTCATCATCATCATCATCATCATCATCATCATCATCACGGCGCTCCTCATCATCAGCTTCTTCGTTATCGTCTTTTTTTTATACGTTTCAAGTGTCCCGTTAGACCCAATTTGAGATGCAGAAGATGCGCGGACATGATTATCATGATGACTGCTGGTGATGCTGAGGATGCGTCATGATGATTATCATGTCAGTTCATCATCATCATAATCAGCATCATCATCACGGTGCTCATCATCATCATCTTCTTCGTCATCGTCCTTATCTTTTTTTATATACGTTTCAAGTGTCCCGTTAGACCCGATTTGAGATGCAGAAGATGCGTGGACATGATTATCATGATGACTGCTGGTGATGCTGAGGATGCGTCATGATGATTATCATGTCAGTTCATCATCATCATCATCAGCATCATCACGCTGCTTATCATCTTCATCTTCTTCGTCATCGTCCTATCTTATCTTTTTTATATTCGTTTCAAGTGTCCCGTTAGACCAGAGTGAGATGCAGAAGATGCGCGGACATGATTATCATGATGACTGCTGGTGATGCTGAGGATGCGTCATGATGATTATCATGTCAGTTGGTGTTCATCATCATCATCTTCTTCGTCATCGTCCTTATCTTGTTTTATATACGTTTCAAGTGTCCCGTTAGACCCGAATTGAGATGCAGAAGATGCGTGGACATGATTATCATGATGACTGCTGGTGATGCTGAGGATGCGTCATGATGATTATCATGTCAGTTCATCATCATCATCATCATCATCATCATCACGGCGCTCCTCATCATCAGCTTCTTCGTCATCGTCTTTTTTTTATACGTTTCAAGTGTCCCGTTAGACATGTCAGTTCATCATCATCATAATCAGCATCATCATCACGGTGCTCATCATCAGCATCTTCTTCGTCATCGTCCTTATCTTTTTTTATATACGTTTCAAGTGTCCCGTTAGACCCGATTTGAGATGCAGAAGATGCGTGGACATGATTATCATGATGACTGCTGGTGATGCTGAGGATGCGTCATGATGATTATCATGTCAGTTCATCATCATCATCATCAGCATCATCACGGTGCTTATCATCATCATCTTCTTCGTCATCGTCCTTATCTTTTTTTATATTCGTTTCAAGTGTCCCGTTAGACCCGAGTTGAGATGCAGAAGATGCGCGGACATGATTATCATGATGACTGCTGGTGATGCTGAGGATGCGTCATGATGATTATCATGTCAGTTGGTGTTCATCATCATCATCTTCTTCGTCATCGTCCTTGTCTCTTTTTTTATACGATTCAAGTGTCCCGTTAGACCCGATTTGAGATGCAGCAGATGCGTGGACATGATTATCATGATGACTGCTGGTGATGGTGAGGATGCGTCATGATGATTATCATGCCAATTCATCATCATCATCATCATCATCAGCATCATCACGGTGCTTATCATCATCATCTTCTTCGTCATCGTCCTTATCTTTTTTTAATACGTTTCAAGTGTCCCGTTGGACCCGATTTGAGATGCAGAAGATGCGCGGACATGATTATCATGATGACTGCTGGTGATGCTGAGGATGCGTCATGATGATTATCATGTCAGTTGGTGTTCATCATCATCATCTTCTTCGTCATCGTCCTTATCCTTTTTTATGTACGATTCAAGTGTCCCGTTAGACCCGATTTGAGATGCAGAAGATGCGTGGACATGATTATCATGATGACTGCTGGTGATGCTGAGGATGCGTCATCATGATTATCATGTCAGTTCATCATCATCATCATCATCAGCATCATCACGGTGCTTATCATCATCATCTTCTTCGTCATCGTCCTTATCTCTTTTTATATACGTTTCAAGTGTCCCGTTAGACCCGATTTGAGATGCAGAAGATGCGCGGACATGATTATCATGATGACTGCTGGTGATGCTGAGGATGCGTCATGATGATTATCTGTCAGTTGGTGTTCATCATCATCATCTTCTTCGTCATCGTCCTTATCTTTTTTATATACGTTTCAAGTGTCCCGTTAGACCCGATTTGAGATGCAGAAGATGCGTGGACATGATTATCATGATGACTGCTGGTGATGCTGAGGATGCGTCATGATGATTATCATGTCAGTTCATCATCATCATCATCATCACGGTGCTCATCATCATCAGCTTCTTCGTCATCGTCCTCATCTATTTTTATATACGTTTCAAGTGTCCCGTTAGACCCGATTTGAGATGCAGAAGATGCGCGGACATGATTATCATGATGACTGCTAGTGATGCTGAGGATGCGTCATGATGATTATCATGTCAGTTCATCATCATCATAATCAGCATCATCATCACGGTGCTCATCATCATCATCTTCTTCGTCATCGTCCTTATCTTTTTTATATACGTTTCAAGTGTCCCGTTAGACCCGATTTGAGATGCAGAAGATGCGTGGACATGATTATCATGATGACTGCTGGTGATGCTGAGGATGCGTCATGATGATTATCATGTCAGTTCATCATCATCATCATCAGCATCATCACGGTGCTATCATCATCATCTTCTTCGTCATCGTCCTTATCTTTTTTATATACGTTTCAAGTGTCCCGTTAGACCCGATTTGAGATGCAGAAGATGCGCGGACATGATTATCATGATGACTGCTGGTGATGCTGAGGATGCGTCATGATGATTATCATGTCAGTTGGTGTTCATCATCATCATCTTCTTCGTCATCGTCCTTTCTTTTTTATATACGTTTCAAGTGTCCCGTTAGACCCGATTTGAGATGCAGCAGATGCGTGGACATGATTATCATGATGACTGCTGGTGATGCTGAGGATGCGTCATCATGATTATCATGTCAGTTCATCATCATCATCATCATCAGCATCATCACGGTGCTTATCATCATCATCTTCTTCGTCATCGTCCTTATCTTATTTTTTATATACGTTTCAAGTGTCCCGTTAGACCCGAGTTGAGATGCAGAAGATGCGCGGACATGATTATCATGATGACTGCTGGTGATGCTGAGGATGCGTCATGATGATTATCATGTCAGTTCATCATCATCATAATCATCATCATCATCACGGTGCTCATCATCATCATCTTCTTCGTCATCGTCCTTATCTTTTTGTATATACGTTTCAAGTGTCCCGTTAGACCCGATTTGAGATGCAGATGATGCGTGGACATGATTATCATGATGACTGCTGGTGATGCTGAGGATGCGTCATGATGATTATCATGTCAGTTCATCATCATCATCATCAGCATCATCACGGTGCGTAACATCATCATCTTCTTCGTCATCGTCCTTATCGTTTTTTATATACGTTTCAAGTGTCCCGTTAGACCCGATTTGAGATGAAGAAGATGCGTGGACATGATTATCATGATGACTGCTGGTGATGCTGAGGATGCGTCATCATGATTATCATGTCAGTTCGTCATCATCATCTTCATCATCAGCATCATCACGGTGCTTATCATCATCATCTTCTTCGTCATCGTCCTTATCTCTTTTTATACACGTTTCAAGTGTCCCGTTAGACCCAGTTTGAGATGCAGAAGATGCGCGGACATGATTATCATGATGACTGCTGGTGATGCTGAGGATGCGTCATGATGATTATCATGTCAGTTGGTGTTCATCATCATCATCTGCTTCGTCATCGTCCTTATCTTTTTTTATGTACGTTTCAAGTGTCCCGTTAGACCCGATTTGAGATGCAGAAGATGCGTGGACATGATTATCATGATGACTGCTGGTGATGCTGAGGATGCGTCATGATGATTATCATGTCAGTTCATCATCATCATCATCAGCATCATCACGGTGCTTATCATCATCATCTTCTTCGTCATCGTCCTTATCTCTTTTTAATATACGTTTCAAGTGTCCCGTTAGACCCGATTTGAGATGCAGAAGATGCGCGGACATGATTATCATGATGACTGCTGGTGATGCTGAGGATGCGTCATGATGATTATCATGTCAGTTGGTGTTCATCATCATCATCTTCTTCGTCATCGTCCTTATCTTTTTTTATATACGTTTCAAGTGTCCCGTTAGACCCGATTTGAGATGCAGAAGATGCGTGGACATGCTTATCATGATGACTGCTGGTGATGCCGAGGATGCGTCATGATGATTATCATGTCAGTTGGTTTTCATCATCATCATCATCACGGTGCTCATCATCATCAGCTTCTTCGTCATCGTCCTCATCTTATTTTTTATATACGTTTCAAGTGTCCCGTTAGACCCAATTTGAGATGCAGCAGATGCGCGGACATGATTATCATGATGACTGCTGGTGATGCTGAGGATGCGTCATGATGATTATCATGTCAGTTCATCATCATCATAATCAGCATCATCATCACGGTGCTCATCATCATCATCTTCTTCGTCATCGTCCTTATCTTTTTTTATATACGTTTCAAGTGTCCCGTTAGACCCGATTTGAGATGCAGAAGATGCGTGGGCATGATTATCATGATGACTGCTGGTGATGCTGAGGATGCGTCATGATGATTATCATGTCAGTTCATCATCATCATCATCATCAGCATCATCACGGTGCTCATCATCATCATCTTCTTCGTCATCGTCCTTATCTTATTTTTTATATACGTTTCAAGTGTCCCGTTAGACCCGATTTGACATGCAGAAGATGCGCGGACATGATTATCATGATGACTGCTGGTGATGCTGAGGATGCGTCATGATGATTATCATGTCAGTTGGTGTTCATCATCATCATCTTCTTCGTCATCGTCCTTGTCTCTTTTTATATACGATTCAAGTGTCCCGTTAGACCCGATTTGAGATGCAGAAGATGCGTGGACATGATTATCATGATGACTGCTGGTGATGCTGAGGATGCGTCATGATGATTATCATGTCAGTTCCATCATCATCATCATCAGCATCACGGTGCTCATCATCATCATCTTCTTTGTCATCCTCTTTATTTTTTTATATACGTTTCAAGTGTCCCGTTAGACCCGATTCGAGATGCAGCAGATGCGTGGACATGATTATCATGGCTGCTGGTGATGCTGAGGATGCGTCATGATGATTATCATGTCAGCATCATCATCATCATCATCAGCATCATCATCACGGTGCTCATCATCATCATCTTCTTCGTCATCGTCCTTATCTATTTTTTATATACGTTTCAAGTGTCCCGTTAGACCCGAATTGAGATGCAGAAGATGCGTGGACATGATTATCATGATGACTGCTGGTGATGCTGAGGATGCGTCATGATGATTATCATGTCAGATCATCATCATCATCATCATCATCATCAGCACCATCACGGTGCTCATCATCATCATCTTCTTCGTCATCGTCCTTATCTCTTTTTATATACGATTCAAGTGTCCCGTTAAACCCGATTTGAGATGCAGCAGATGCGTGGACATGATTATCATGCAGCCCGAAGACTGTACCAAAGCCACAGCCCGAAGGCTGTGGCAGCCACAACAGCCCGAAGACTGTACCAAAGCCATAGCCCGAAGGCTGTGGCAGCCACAGCCCGAAAGCTGTGGCAGATACAGCCCGAAGACTGTACCAAAGCCACAGCCCTGACAAGCATGATGACGATGATGACGGAGATGACTATGATGACAATAAGGATGATGACTCTTATGATAACTATCATCGTAGCATCCTCTGCATTACCAAAGCTGCGGATGACTGTCATGATAACTATCATCGTAGCATCCTCTGCATTACCAAGGATGCATTTCAAATGTATATAGAAGAAAGATAGAAGAAAATCATGATGACGATGATGAAGGCGATGACTAGGATGACAATCATCATGAAGATGATAAGGATGATGACTCTTATGATAACTATCATCGTAGCATCCTCTGCATTACCAAAGCTGCGGATGACTGTCATGATAACTATCATCGTAGCATCCTCTGCATTACCAAGGATGCATTTCAAATGTATATAGAAGAAAGATAGAAGAACATCATGATGACGATGATGAAGGCGATGACTATGATGACAATCATCATGAAGATGATGTCTTATGATAACTATCATCGTAGCATTTTTTGCATTACCAAAGCTGCGGATGACTGTCATGACCACTATCATCGTAGCATCCTCTGCATTACCAAGGGTGCCTAGCGATGATCATGACATCGAAACGGCACCTCGCCTCAGATGCCATTTGTGTCATTGAGATTTGGAGTCCTGCCTTGATGATAGTCATCACTACGCATCATTCGCAGCATCTCTGGCAATCATGAGGATAATCATCACTACGCATCCCCAGCATCTCCAGCAGCGATGATCATAATCATGACTACGCATCACTGTCGAAACGGCACCTCGCCTCAGATGCCATTTGGGTCAAAAAGAAACCAAAGAAACCAAAACCAAGGGCACTGTTTTTGGTTGCTCGAAAACCACAACTAAATCCAGGGGTCGGCGGCACTGGGCGGCAGCCCTTAAATATGTACTCTTCCCTAAAAAAGCAACATCACATCGGGTCCACCATTTGGAGAAACTCGCATTTTGTAGGGTGCCCGTTTGGGTTCGGAAAAAGGGAAGCTGAAAGGAAAAACAAGATTTGGGGGGGTCCAAGTCAAACTCAAATGCGGCGTATTCCCCCCGCCCCACCCCACCCCACCCCACCCCACCCCAGCCCCAACCCGCCAACTCCCCCGCCCATTCCCACCCGCCTGTTTGTCGGGCCGGGTGCTCTGCAGGAACATCCCGATCTGTGGCTCGAAGCCCATGTCGAACATCCGGTCCGCCTGCCAAGCGGACGACGCAGCGCGCAAGCCGCCGCTCCAACCAACAAGGGAAGAGAAAAAGGAGAAGAAGAAAAAAAACGGGGAACAAAAAAACGAGGAAAAAAAAAGAAAAAACAAACAAACGATCCAACGTGGGACTCCCAACCCCAACCCCAACCCTCCCCCCAAACCAAAAAAGACAAGAACAAGAACTGGGGCGGTGGACGTGCGGGTTTCTCCCAGCGTCCAAAAAGGGCACCGAGCCTCGAAAAAGACACAGCCACGTTTAGTTTGCTGGTTGAAGGAAAACAACCATGAAGGCAGATGGAAAAATAGAGGCGCGCCAAAACAACAAAAAGTGCTGGAAGAAGGGACAAATGAAGGCCCGCTAGAAAGAAAAGATGCCGACAACGACGAAAAGGGTACCCAAAATGAGAGCCTCGGAAGGCGCTCTGAGAGAAACAAACTTGCAGAGCTTGGCGCCAGGTTCCGGCCCCTCTGAACATTTCCGGCGTGCTCCAAGCGTCTGGCTGTTGGTGCTAGTCTCTAAGCCCTTGCTTTGTGGAAGACAAAAAAGAAACTGGTTGAAGTTCGAGTGGGGAAATGAAAGAAAAGTCCGAGCTTTCTATCTAGCACTGCAATGATCTTCCCAAGTACAAAGTCCATATATTCCTCAAACTGAATTTCAGGGAACCCTAAAGCAGACCTTCGCGGACCAGAAAGCATCCATCATATCCCCCGTACTTGAGTGAGGGCTACCCCCAAACCACCCGCAGGACGGTTTCATGGGATACACAGCCACTATGCCGCCACTATATCAGGAATCTACGGGTTTCTCCAAAAAAAATGTCGATCCCCTAAAACAATTGCAATTCCTTTCATTTCAGATGGGTCTTTCCGAAACAAGAGAATCGATCCCCCAAAGCTGCCGTGTTTTCTTCTGGCTACGCGAATCCCGTTGTGAGAAGCTCCCCATTTCTTACATGCGGACCAGGGGGGTAGCCATGGCCCAAACATCGAAAATCGAAAATCCGCCTCGTCAAGCACCAGGAAAGTCACCCGCCGGAGGTTGGTGATCTTGCCCCCAGACGTAGTGAGCACCTCTCAGACGTGGACTCAGAGGAAGGACGGGCTGCCCGTTTTCAGATCCCCTGCTAAAAGCTTCACAAACTTTTAGTGGGTGAAATTCGGAAACTACCACTATATAAACTAAAAGGCTAAAAAGCTAAGGAACCGGATGGCTGGGAGCCGCCAAGGAAGGACAGGCTGCTTGTGAGAGGGACCATGGGCACTCCTTGAATCACCTCCAGTTGCTTTTCATATCTCTTTCCGCTCACCGGGTCTCTGTTTCCGCCGTTTGTTCTTTCGCAAAGGCATGTGATTGACACCACTTGGCAAACCCCAAGGCTGTTGACCATAAAATCTCCGGTTTTGCTGGCCCATGGACCCACAAAAGCCGTGCAGGTGGGCCCTCATTAGGCACGAGGCCCGAGTTTTGATGCCTTCGGGCGGTCCATGGAACACCGAGACATGTTCCACCGTCGATTAAAACAAGCTGTGCTGAACAATACGCTCTGGAAACAGAACTCTCCTTAAAGTGGGAAGGATGAAGCCTGATTGTCAGGGGTCCCTGGATTCCCCCAACTCAAAAGTCGCAATTGGCTGGCGGTGTCTTTTGAAGCGATCGCCCGTTTTTGGAGGGTCCGAAATGGGATAGATGTCTCGGAAACCCTGAAACGGTTGGCTAGGGAGCTGTTTGAAAGTCCACTTTTTCCGGCGGATGCGTGGCCGGAAGCCTCTGCCCCAGCTCAAAGACACTGAAGGCCAGTTCTCATGAACAGCGAATCGAAACACCATCTGTTTGACAAGCCCAGGTGGTGTGCACCGTCATCTTCCCAGTTTCGACGGTGGCCTCCAAAAAAGACATCCAAAAGCGGCGTCCCCAAAAAACAGGTGTTGATGATTTGCGGCAGGGTCACAATCAACCCTTGTATGGTGGACAGGCATTCCTCTGACATGATCCAAAGGTTAGTGAAAGGTAACTACTTGACTCGTGAGTTTTCAACGATAAGGAACCCTTATCTGGGTTGTTCAAAATGGCAGAATCCTGATCCTCATCCGCGATCCGAAGTGGACAACACTACAAGGGAAACCGCCATTGTCTAGCATACTGGGTGTTAGATAGGGGTCTGAAAAGCTACCCATTCCCTTGTGGTTTCCTCTTAGGAGTACAAGAATCGTAGGCTATTTAGCACCCAGATTCTCGGTCAACGTAATATGTTCTGTGCTCATCATTCCAGTCAAGGGCAAAGATGTAAGATGGTCCCAAACGTCGACCCAAGGATCACTGCTCACCAACCCGGCTTTAGAAAACCCTCCGAGGCACGTCAATGAGGCGCCCAGGTGTGCCGACCAACAGCTCAGCTCCTACCAGTCGCTTCACTCATAGGATCCCCACCTACACGAACTGCAGGACACCCCAAAGGAGGCGTGCTTTTTTAGGGGACCCTACCAGTCGCTTCACTCATAGGGTCCCCACCTACACGAACTGCAGGACACCCCAAAGGAGGCGTGCTTTTTTAGGGGACCGCCCCAAATGTCTTCGGTGTTCCTCTTGGTTCCAACAAGGGGCATCAACTCCAAAACAAGACAGAACCAAATGGCCTTGGGAAAAGGCCTAGGGAGAATCAACCTCGCCGATTCGACTCAGCGCAAAGCCACACGAGTCAAAAGAAAACACTGCCCAGCTTTCGTGGTCGTGCGCACCAACCATCCAAGAACACGCACGGATTTCTGTCAAGACACCGACGCTGAGCAAACCTGCGAAGCGTCATAATTGTTTGGGAAATCCTATGATTTTGAATGGTCAGCTGACCAAACACGCTTGTCACATACAAAATGCTGGGAACCGACAAACATGGCATGGCCAACTAAAATGGGTCCGGTGCACCTACCCCAAAATGGTACCATTGGCTTTGACCCACAGCCATATTGTGTGAAAACTCTGCCCAACGAAACTAGCCGAAAGCAAGCATGCCGAAGTGGGACTCCCCTTCTCGTCGCTATGCGAAACGAGCCCTGAGTTCAGCTCACACCACGTGATCAGCGAAAGTGATTCACTCCTGGGTGCTGTAGATCCCCCAGCAAGAAAGTTTAACATTTTGCCGGTTAAAAGGAAATATGAGGGGAACCCAAAAAGTGAAAGTCTAAGGATCCAACCCAATAGCAGTAGGACTTACAACTTTGAACGCCGAAGCAGGAACTTGTGCAAGCTGCGGAGTACGAAAGTGGCATGCTGACTCAGCGCATGTCAAAACAATTGCTAATTGAATTCGCGAGAATGAAAAGCACAGCTCGTGCTGACAAATCGATCCGGTTGTTTCAATGAAACACGGCTACTGAGCTGCTCACATTTGAATATATATATATATATGTAGACATATGTTTCTCCCCCCTGTGGCTTCCCCTCAAAAAAGGCGCAACCCACTTTCTTCTTCTTCTTTTTTCTGGGTGGGGAGAGGGGCTTTGGGAGGAAACCGAGCCCACTTTCTTCAGTTGGAAGGAACCAACCCACCCACCCCCCCCCCCCCGCCCCCCCCCGCGCGCTCGCGCTCGCGGCGCATCGGGCTCCTTTCTTCAAGGCCGAGAGCTGCTCGCCCAACAAACCCCCGCCGTAGGCGCAGACGCTGGTCAGGTTCCCCGCCTGAATCTGGAACCGAAAAAAATATGGCTCTGGTGCCATAAGTAGGGAATGAGTTGGAATGCAGTTAGGGTTCCCTGGAACCTTTAACTGGGGTTCCCTGGAGTCTCTGGAGTCTCTGGTATGAGTTGGAATGAACCGCTTTGGGGGTCCCCGAAGAAAGGAAACCACAATTTGGATGTTGTTGTTTTTTCTGGGGCGGTCCATTTCTCATTCCCTAGTGAGCACCAGCAAGAAAATTGGCTGGTGCAAAATCGGTGGGGAATCCCCCTGACCTGAGAAAAAGAAAACTCAACCAGGGGTTGATTGATCCGGAGTTAGCATTGCTTGGTACTCAGCGGGGAGTGACCCAGTGTTGGGAACGAACCCAGGGGGAGTGTATTATGACCAAACAACTTGCTGGATAGTAGGGAATGACCCAGGGTTTGGTCCCCGAATAAAGGAAACCACCAGTGGGATGTTGTTTTTTTCCGGGGTCATTCCATTTCTCATTCCCTGAGAAATGGAGAAAAATCGGTCCGTGAACCAGGACGAAGCAAGGGGGGTTGGATCCTTGGGTTCGGTCTTGGGCTATGTGTTGAGCTGGGTTTTGGGTGGTTATGATTGGTTGGATTAGATGGGGGCTAATTGAAATGGCTAGGTCAGGTTGGGTAAAGGTCAGGTTAGGTTGGGCACTGACCCTCCGGGTTGCGCCGGTTCCCAATTGGAAGGTCCTAGAGCGGTCCCTCGGAGTGTTTGAGTTGTTTTTTGAGGAACGCTACGGAAAAGGAGCCCCAGGAAATCTGTCCCTAGTCTGGGCATGGTTTACATGATTCAATTTACCCCGCTTTGATTTGCCCAGTTTACTCCACTTTTCATTGCTCCAAATCCACTCAAAGCAATCGGCAGGGTCGAAGATTCCGCCCTGGCTTCGGGAAAGCCAAAAACAACTCGCACGCGACTGCTTCACGGCCCCTTTTTTCCCATAAACAAGCGTAGTTGATGATGAAAGCTGGTGGGTTTGAGACCCGTTCGTGCACTGAAAGTCGATGGCACCGTCCCTTTTTATATACCGACCTTCCCCTGGCTGCAGAAGCGCCATCGCGAAACCCCGAAAATCTGTGGATTTCTGGTCACAGCCGATTTCTGGTCATCCCCAGGAGGTCGATGCCCATCCCCACTCCCCACTCCCCTCTCAGGGGGATCGATCCGGTCCCATCACTGAATCATCCCCCAAACTTGGCACGACTCTTCCCGGCGGAAAATGGTTGAAACCAGGGCCCAATGCCACATTCCTTCCCTCACCATCACAGGAGCATCTCGCCATGGCCAAGAAGGCGAAAGGCGAACAAAACAAAAACAAAAGAAACTGACCCAAAACAGACAGCACAAACAAAAAGAAAACAGCAAGACAAAAAAAAAGGACGGCAACAGGGGCCGGTGAAATCTCGGTCCGAGTGCATCGACCAGCTTCCCCGACCCTGTTTCAGGTTCCAGGGTCCCAAACCCCCCCCCCCACCACACGTCCGATGTGCCCGAAGCGTCAGGTCACGGGCCTTGCAGAAGACATTGGCCTCCCGCTGAATCTGCAGCGCCAGCTCGCGGGTCGGGGCCACCTCTGTTTGTCTCTTTCTTTCTGGTACTTACCGGTGACCTATGTTTGGTGTGGAGAATAGTCGGTTTGTCTGTCTCTTTCTTTTGAAGGTTCCCGGTTGATTGCTTTTTGTTGAGGGAACTTAGCCCATCTGAACCCGGTTTGTGGGGTTTCTTTTAGGGAACTGAAAGGGAAAGGCCCATCTTAACCCGGTTTGCTTGTTGGTTTGTTTAGGGAACTTAAAGGGAAACGCCCATCTTAAGTGGGTTCCCTCAAAGTCTCATGTCCGGCGGGGGGACAGCATGTGAACGGTTGCTGGACAATGGGGTGCCCGCTTTCAAGGGATTCTCTTGATTCTCTTGGTATCACAGTGGTCCTCAAGCCCGATTTTGAACATGTGCCTGTTCAGAAGCAAATGGCAGCAGACACAACTGAAAACTGAAAAACTAGACCATGACAACTTCAAACAGATCATTTTCCTTTTCCCATTCTTCCTTCTATAGGCGTTTTTCGCTACTGGAATAGAAGGAAATACTATAATCCAGAATTGTCAATTTCATTGTAAAAATATGTTAGGATCGTCAGCCAGCATGCTTGACCCACAGCCATCTGTCAGAGTGAGTCACCTGGCTGTGTCTTGTAGTTTGCTTTCCTTACGCACAAGGGAGGGTTCCTTGGCCACCTATCCACGGCCGTTTCCCAAAAAGCCGTCACCACAGGCACCCATTCAAATACACCAATGGCTGAGCCCTCACATGTGAAACTAGATTTGGACCCTCCAAATGGAGCTGTTCCTGTTTATCTCCCGATCTTCCCACCCAAAAATGGGCCACCTCAAAGAAACGCCAGCTGTCCGTGTTCAGATCCCCTGCGACAAAGTTGAGGACTTGTCGTGGCTTAAGTTCGGACATCCAACCACTAAACTTATGACCTCGAAATGCCAGCAGAAACTGCTAGACACGTTTTCATGACGGATGGCCTTTGCTTCGCCACCAAGTAAACTTGAGTGTGCGGAAAGCCGAAGTCGGCCTTTTGTCTTCGGTTTCGCAGCTTTTTGTCTTCGGTCCTGTTTACCAAGGTGCCATGTTGGTACCCTTGTTTTGGAGAGCCACAGCCATATTTGAGAAAAGGCTGTGGGTCAAAACCAATGGTACCATTTTGGGGTAGGTGCACCACCCATGTTAGACTATTTTAGTGGGGATTGGGATGTTCACTGGGGGTACGGGATTTTGACCCATGGCCAAAACAGCCCGAATGTTCACTCCCAAAAAGCGAGAAGCCCAATGGCGTGAATCTTCACGCCGAACCTTGGAGATCATTCAGGGATTCATGCCTACTAACCGCTGAGGTGGTTCCCAACTAGAATTCATAGCAACCGTGTGTGTGTGTGTGCACAAAAAAAACAACATGCGGAAATCAAGACTTGAACTTCCATTCGCTTAAGCTCCCGGGCAAAAAAAGAGCAAATGTGTCCAGTAGTGAAATCGATTCCCTTTAAAACCAACAGAGGAAAATACAACATCTAGGTCCTCCAGCGGAGAAGTTAGAATAAGGGTACCCTTTTTTCTGTAATCTATTTTAGTAGGGAAACCCTCCCCAAAAAAGTTGGTAAAAGGGCACTACTGGGGGACCTAGACATATTCATTCCAGCAAATGGAAGTGAAGACGGCTGCGAGCTCGTCTTTTTTCCCCAGCAGCTGAAAGCTTTGGGTCTCAGCCCAGATAGGCTCCGGGGTGGTCCGGGGCGGCCCTGAGGTAAGGTTCCACGAGGTGTTGTTTTTCTTCTTTTTTTTACCAGGGTTCCATGATGTTCTGCGTCTGTGGGGTGCGAGCACTAGAAAGAGCGCCGCATGCTGTTGGGCATCTCACCTGGGCAAAAATTTCAAGCCTCGGTTTCTAGGGTTGGGCCAAAAAACCATTTCCAGGCAAAAAAAAAAAAAACTAAACCTGGCTTTGGACGGCCCAAAGGCTTCCAACTTCCGCCGCTTTTTTTTAAAAAAAAATCTCCGGGCCAAGTCCCGGTTCACTCAGCTTCGGGTTCCCGGGCCACGAAGCCCACGGGCCCGTCCCCGTTGGCCAGCGGCGCCTGGTCCAGGATGTGCCTGCGGCGCTTGGTGTCGGAGGCTTCGAAAACGGGGGCGGCCTTTCAGGGACCCCCTTAGGGCGCTGGGGGATGGATGGGGGAACTCGCCTCCGAAAAAAAAAAAAAAAAAAAAAAAAAAAAAAAAAAAAAAAAAAAAAAAAAAAAAAAAAAAAAAAAAAAAAAAAAAGGGGGAGGGGGGGGGGGGGGGGGGGGGGCGGGGAAAGGTACGCTGTGGGCCCGAAGGTGGTTTCCATTATGAGATGGTGGCTTTTGCAGACCACAAAAAAAAGGGGGGCAGCCGTTATCACGGACCTTCTTTAGGGGGCTATGGGGGATGGGGGGGGGAACTGTGGGTCCATGACTTTGAGGGGACATATGGGCAAACACCAGATAAATCAAAAGAGATGCGTCTTCGTCCCCTGGGAAACATGAGCAAATACGTCCAGCAGCGATAAATCCCCTTTAAAACCAAGAGGGGGCAATAAAAGGTCCAAGCAGGTGCCACGAGGGCCCTGGCGGTTTCAACCTACAAACCGAGCTGATTAGGTGTACTTGAGTTGATGGCCCAAAAAAGTAACCAAACTTTGTGTGAAGACCTCTAAAATGGTCCAACCCCGACAAGTGTGTGCCAAAGAACTCGGAAAGTGAGAAGAGGAGCTTGAAGCCGGCGGGTTCCTTACCTGCTGGCTCCCTTTCCCCCCCCCCAACCAACCAAAAAAAAGAAAGATAAAGCCGGGTGGCCAGAAACGTGTCCAGTGTGCCCCTCTTTCAGGCGCTCCCTTTCTTGATTTCCCCAAGCCTCACATCCTTGCCATACTGTGGATGGACAAAATCCATTTCGCACCACCTAAGAAGCCCTGGAATGAATGATTCCCCTGTAAATACCAACAAACCATGGCTTCAACCATGGTTTCAAAGTGGTGCGAACGGATTTCGTCCATCAGTACCTTACATGGCCAGCACAAAAATCTCGGGAGGCTGCGGAGCCGAGATCCCAAAGTGATTGATTGCTTCGGAGCGTGGTGCTCGATAGATGCTCAGAACCTTCCGAATTCCAGTGAGCAGTTTTTTTCTCCCCAATGTGCTCAATACTTGCTACGTGGCTAGGGTTCAGACCCACGAGTTCCAGTGGTCCTTTTTTCCCCCCCAAGTCCATCTTTTAGGGCGGAGCCGATATTTCAGGGTCGAGGGTCCTGGCCGCACCAAGCGCTTCAAGGCATCTTTGAAACAGTCTGGAGCGAGAGTCACTCGCCAACCTCGCACGATCGACCCAGGACCAAAACCAAAAATGCGCAACCGTCTGGGACGGTCATTTGACTGGGCTGCCCGCATATCCCCCGCAAAAAGTTGAGAACTTTTAGTGGGTTAAATGGAAACTACCACTAAATACTAAAAGACTAAGCTAAGGGGATGCTGGGAGCCAGCAAGTTGAGTCATAATCAAAATCTGGTATCAAAATGGTCTACCCAGAACCATGTAAAGAATTGAAAAGGCGGATATACGCACCCATTCATGGCTGGGATTGTCCCCTAGCCTCCAATTAACCGGGTTTTGATTGCGGCTCATTTGCGGGAGGGAGAAACGCAACCAAGAACACGACCCACCGAAAGGCGAGTTTTCTTTGATGCTACGAAAGCGGGAGCTCGTTTTTAGACTAGACCCCACTTCACCCCGAAAAGCGGCGGAAGGTGGAAGACCTGGCACTGCCGAAAGTCTGGGCCCCCTAAAAGTGCCCCCCGCTAAAAGTTGAGAACTTTTCGTGGGTTAAATCGGAAGCTACTAAACACTAAAAGGGTAAAAAGCTAAGCCGGCAAGGGATTTGGTGTGCTCTCAATCCGGGTCGAGTTTGGGGCCGCGGTTGCTTACAACAGAACAAATAGAGCAGCCCCGTTGAAGCATGGGGCAGTCGAACTAGCCAGCTACCGTCAAAGTAAGCCTAGGCGTTTGCCAGAGGAATCCTCCCTCATCCCTGCTTTCCGCGTTTCCCTGTTCATTTATTTCTCTGAAGAGAAGCGGGTGAACATGGCCATGGGTCAAAACCCCGGTTATCCCCCAGTGAACATCCCAATCCAACCACTAAAATAGGTTCTAAAAAGGGTGGTGAATTCACCTACCAACCAAAATGGGATACCAAAACGGTTTTGACTCACAGCCGTCACAGCCACATGGGCATGGGTCAAAATTTAACCGCCAGGGGACCGCAGGTTTTAGTCCTTGATTCCATTTACCAGGCTTTTATTTGGGGTACCATTTTTTTGACTCACAGCCACATTGCAATCAAGCTTGAACACCTGCAAGTGCGTCGACTGCCGAGTCAAAAGGCCTGATCAAAGGCAGCAGGTAGGCCAGCGTCTTGCCCGAGCCGGTCTGAGCCACACCTGGGGTTAGCAAGGCAAATTCGGCCCGGACGAAATTCTGAGGGTATTTGTATTACGCCCTGGGCTTACACCCTTGGGAAATGACCCAGAATGGTTCAAATTAGCACGGTTTTATCCGGAAATGCGCCTAAATGGGGTCAATACCCAGTGGGTGTACTCCAAGGGTGTAATACAAAAACCCTTGGAGAGATGGTGTTACTTGCAGGCTATTCGAAGGATCAAGTTGACTTCAAGCTTCGCTGCAGCTATTGAGTTGCCTCCAAGTTTACTGGGGAAGTCGTTAGTGGGAGTCAAGTCTGCTTGGAGTGGCCTGATATAAAGCTGAATCTCAGTCAGTGAACACTTTGCGGATGAGTGTTACCAAAAGCCCGGGAAAAAGCATATGCCGTGCTTATTTGGCCATGGGTCAAAACCCCGGTTATCCCCCAGTGACCATCCCAATCCAACCACTAAAATAGGAGCCTAAAAATGGGTGGTGAATTCACCAATCCCAACCAACCAAAACGTTTTTGACAACCACAGCCATTTGGCTCAATTCACAGTAGCCCCAGAGCCAATGGCATCAGCTTCCAGCTCTCTGGTCGAGAATCCCCGGCAGAGTCTTTGGCTTGAACTACAGGCTACAGGTCAAGCAACCTGCGTCTCCTGTAACGAATTTAACGAACTCCTCCAAAAAGTGTATCTGGCTAGTGCATAGAAACCTCCCATTTGCTCTCTCCTAGCATGACGCGATGCCGCTAGGCCGCTCTGGGCCTAAAGATGAAGGGATCATCCCATAGCACCTAAGGTGACGTTTACCACTGACCACCCAGAGAGAGAGAGAGAGACAGAGACGCTTTGCCTCCATGAAACACAAAGCTCATTGCACTACAAAGAGCTGACCTTGCAGCCAACCGTTTTCGTCATCTACCGATGCAAGAAACTACCAGACAGGCCGGGAGGTTGGTGCAGACTGGTCAGACCGGGCGGGCGGGTCCAAACCCCCAAAGAGGAAGCCAGGCTGAAGGACAAGATCAACTCATGGGTACCTCTCTCGGCGTGGCCAAGTGCTTGGTCCAAAAAGCCACGCCACCGTCGCAAAGCACACCTTGGGAGTCCGACTGGCTTGCAATTCTATATTGGGGTTCATAAGAGAGGAACTCGAGCACATCTGGCCAGAAGCAGCCTCCAAAACAACGCCCAAAAAGGCACGGGTCGCGAAGAAGACCTTCTCGATAAAAGTCAGATTAAAAAAGACAAAGTAGCCCGTCCCACAGCCCTCTTGGTTGTGGTTGGCAAAGACGCTCTCTCATCGCTTTCTGCGTGGGGCCACCACCGTTGATTCGTCGTACCTGCTGGTCTGAGTGAGCCTTGTTCAACTTTGCTGTCTTGCTGCACAAACGTAGGGGCGAGGCGTTGCAGGTCGAGGCTTAGCTGGATGAGGTTCCCTAGGCACTTCTTTCTTTTGGCGTCCACGGCGATGCTTTTGTTTTGGAGGAAGTCGGTGTACCGCGTGCTCTGCTTTGAAGTGCCTCTGTTTCGTGTTGCATGCTTCCTAGTGTCGTGCGGAGTTGCTCGGCATCCGAGAGAGAGAGAGAGAGAGAGAGAGCGAGAACGTCCACAGGGCAATGAACTGGAAGTGCAGTGGTTGCATATAGCAACCATACTCTGGCCGGACGCGCAAAGCTCCGCAAGAATCTGGGCAAACGCCATGCCCCGCAAAGTGTCCCAAACTGGCAGTGGGGCTGTCAAGACAAGAGGCAACATGTCCCGAGTCGGCCTCCTTTAAGGTGTTGATGGGAAGGGGATGAGTCTATTCGGGGCAAGGCTTCAATGGGGGACACACCGGAAACACTTTGGCATCACTTCTTGGGCCGTTCCTCAAGGTGAGGGAAGAAATACATGAACCCATTTACAGCACCCCCAAAGCGCCCACCCAAATCTGTTTTTTTTGTATGTGGCCTCTTTGCGTGCCCCTCAGGAAATTGGCGCTTGCAGTTGCCGTCTCCCCAAAATGGGTAAAGGGAAAGGGTTTGTGGAGGACTTGAAAAACAAATTGAGTCATGATCAGAGAATAAGAGGTGTGCAACTTGTGTTTTTTTCCTTTTGCTTTCCTTTTGAACCCCTCAGAGCACGAGACACTCATAAAGCCCCTTGGAAACCTTGCTGGTTCTCAGCAGGGAATGAGTGAAATGGAATGACCCCGAAAAACCCATCCCTTGTGGCTTCAGGGAATCCCAAAATGGTGTTCATTCGAATGCAACGGAAATTAATTCCCTCCCTATCGCACCAGCAAGTCTTTTAGGGGATCACCCAAAATGGCGCAACGGTGTTCTTTGTCCTTTCTCTTTAAAACAAAGCCCAAAAAAAGGGCAACTCCAAAAAGCGAGCCATTCCCTGTCGCGCCCTTTTCAACTTACTTCCACTTGACGACTCGACTCGACTCGAGCCGAGTCGGGCCTATGACATCTCTTCCGCACATCAGCGCAGGCATCGCCTCGAGGACAGAGGCGGCCCAGCAGTCGGCGTTGGGGCAAAACACAATGGGTGTGTTTGGGAGCTAGGGTTACGCGAATTTTAGTCTCTGGTTCCATTTACCGTGGCCATTTTAGTACCGGTTTTTTGAGCCACAGCCATTTGTCTTTATTTTTTGGAGTTGGTACCCCCTTTGGCTTGGGTGTTTCAAGGGAAACCGATCGGAAAACCGAAGCGCCCAAAATGGGGCGTCCAACCTAAAGAAGACACACACCCAAATGGCTCGGATCCCAAATGGAAGCGCTCCTCTATCTTTGGCTGACCTAAACCACGAGAAAGGGGGTAACTCAACAAAAAACAAAGAAAGACGAGCCGAATGGAGACTGTTGGGGTTCCGACCACATCCGACCCATTCGATCTGAAGGGCAGAAAGTTTGTTGGCTCAAAGGATCCCTCTGCCTTGATGGACAAGCAGAGGAGGTGAAACCCCAAATTGTTTGCAACCCGAATCTGGCGTCCCTTGTTGGGGAATACCGACGAGGGTTCATTCCTGAAAAAACCTCTCAAATGATGACCAGCACTCAAAGTCCCTGACCAGCAAGCGAAAATCAACAAAAATCGAGTCGCAGAGTCGGATCTGAAAAGTTTAGGTTGGATGCAGTTGTTGGCTCGGACTGTCCCTGGTCAATGGAGCCGATACTTATTCATTTATATATATATACATGTTTATTTATACACAGGCTCACAGGGCTCCCTCTAGGTTTCTCCTTTCAACATCACCCGAAGCAGCAATTCATTTGAAGATGGCCCAAATTATAAATATATTTGGCTAAAAAGGAGGACACAGATCCTCGCATCCACATAACTTACGCCAACTGGATTTTTGCCCTTTGGGGGGACACAGCCATAGGAACGAGCCACTCAGAAAGGCGGGTACAGCCCGTTGGCTTTGGAAACACTTCACAGCCCCAAGCCCCATAAGAACTTGAGCGAAATGCCCGCAGTTCAAGTGCTACGTCGTATGAAGTCCTCTTTTTCAATCCGCCAAAAACCCAAAAGCCCTGGTTGACACAGAAAGGCAGCCATGCCAAGCCCAAAGCCAACTTCAAAAGACAAACAAGGAAAGTCCCTTTTCAATTCCTTCCTGGAACCCCACCAGGCCGACCTGTTGGGCTTCATGACTCAGTCTTTGCCCGGGAAGAACGGTCCAACCTGCTGCAATGTGGGAACAGTATTTTTTCTGCTGCGACCCAAGGTGTGAATGTGAAAATTCGGGACCCTCTGATAAACGTCCACTTTCAATTGGGCCCTATTCAAAGAGAGGCCAATGCCGTGAGCGGATTGTTTAGGTTAGATGTCATGTCTTTTGGACAAAACCCCTGTAAAAATCCCCAAGAACCCACTCAGAGCATTGGTTTCTATACTAGAAGGGACCTGCCGCGCCTGCATCTGGATGGGGAAGGGCTTCTCATAGTCCCGCTTCTCCAGGATTTTCATGATCTTCTCCGGAAGGCCGCACCTCACTTGAGCAACGCAACCTTTTGACTTTTTGCATGGACTTGTGCCACCAAAATGGCCTCAAAGCATTACATGAGCCCAACTACCCCCGGAAAAGAAAAACAAAGGTGTTGAACCCCTTCGGATCCAAAAATCCCGGTCTGAGCTCACTAGGGATCGATGACCATCCCCGAGTACGAGTAGGAGGGTCTCAAAGAGCATGGCACGCAAAAAAAAAAGACATTCAAACGCATGCGCGCAGGCCGCAGTTTCAAAACTTCCGGAAGCTTGGGTTGCGCCCATCCCAACCTAGACATGTGCTGGGATTCGAACAGACCTTGCTTTGAGCTGTTCCACTGCCGGCCCTGCAGTGGGTAATCGAGGCATCACTTCCAAGCACGAGTTGCCCAAAAGAGCGCCCAAGACTGAAACAGGCACCACCATGTGGTTCGGACCACCAATGTGTGTTGCTTTCAAAAGTGGGTTTCTGACCCCCTGAGTAAATCATGGCTAAATGACCTCATCCAGTCTGAATATCCTGAAAGCAACCGGCCATTTGAGTTCGAAAGCTAAGCCATTCTTCAAAAACGAACCCTGTTGGGAAACAAAGCCGAAATCTGCCAACTCAAAGGAAATGTTTGACACAAACCCTATGAAAACAATTTACTATCAAGAGGGTTCTTGGCGCCTTCTCAGGGGCAAGAGGAGATTCGCGGGGGTAGGGTCCAAAGAGCTTTTTCTACTCTGGCATCTACCCCAGAAGATCCATCACCACGGCAAATTCCGCATCTTCCCGTTAGTTATGGCTTGATTATGGGAAATCAGCCCCCCAACGCAAAATGGCCATTGGTTCAAATTCTTTAGCTGCCCCTGCTATTATGTGTGATTGCCCTTTCGGAATAAACCAATATTCCTGATTGGGGAGGCGGAATGTGTCGAACAAAATAGGGACCCCTTCCAATGGCAAGCCATTTGATGACCCCTTCCAATGGCAAGCCAACGCTTTGATGACTTGCCGCCATGAATCAAGCAGTGGGTCAACAAGAACCCAAGAACACACCAACCTCGCCGGGTTTCCCGGCTGTAGGAAGCTCTTCACAGGATGCGGGCATCGCCTCGGGACCGAGGCACATTGGGAAAAACCCCTTCAGAGGTCCCGCTAGTGCCCCTGCAAATTACCACCCCAGGACACTTAGATTCCATTGGAGGTTTTGGAGGTCCAAAACTTAGACTTTCGAGGTTTTGGACCAAAATTTTACCTTTCAACCAATCTTGAAACATCCTTGCACAAAAGAATCCTGGTTGGCGCTTGAGCCGCTTTGGTCAGGCCGACCAAGTCTGCATGGTTTTGCTCGTATCGACCAGATTGTCGCCATCAACAACTCACCCGAATTTCCGAAACGCGATGCATGTTGCCCTCCTGCAATCCACCAGAGTCCCTTTAAAGGGAAATCGTCTTTCAGTACCAGGATGTTCATGCACAGGAGGGTATCTTCGCAAAAACTCCAGAGGACATCCATGGCAAAAACTGGGGCACCCTTGGTTCGAATCTGACTTTAAATGAGAACGCTGACCAAAAAAAGGAAATAATCAGGGCACCAAAGGTCTAGGTTGACACCTTTGGTCCTCCAACCGAGTTTCGATCCAAGGAAAAAGGGGATACCAACCCAACCTTCAGGGCGAACCGCTCTTTGCCTAGGTTCTCTAGTAGAGAGGTTAGAATAAGGATACCCTTTTTTCTGTAGTCCATTTTAGTAGGGGAACCCCAAAACAGGGTAAAAGGGCACTACTGGGGACCTAGTTGCATAGAACTCAAGGACCCCATCATTTCACTCGTCTCCCCTTTCGGTGAGCTCGTCCGACCATCCGTTCGGATGAGCCCGTGGGAAAGAAAGAAAAACAGGCGCCCAGGCGCCCTTGGCCCTTTTTAAGGGGAACTCCATCTCTGTGATCTCCTCCTCTGCATGCAACTTGAAAAACAAGGATTTGGGCTCAAAAAGAACCCTCCAGAAAGTTGCAAGAAGGGCACAGACTAACTGGGCTGCCCTCAGATCCCCCGCTAAAAGCTGAGAACTGCTTGTGGGTTCAAAATGGACACTAAACCAACCAAAAGGATCTAAAAGGCTTTCTGGAACCGGATGCCTGGCTTCGCCACCAAAGTGGGGGTGCGTCGGATCGCCCCCATCGGCCCCATCGGAGGCTCGCGCTTGCCCCGGACGGTGATTTCGCCCTGGGTCCGGCGCAGGTCCTCCACCTAGCGACCGGCGGAAACATTGACCGAAAACAGCGGGAGCGAAAGCGTGGAGCTGTGGACGGGGGGGTGGAGTCAACCCGAATTGAAAGGGAAAAACGGCTGGGCGGGGGGGTGGAGGGGAAGTGCGGAGGTTGGGGGGGGGGTGGGGGTAGGGGGAGTCAACCCGAATTGAAAGGGAACAATCTTGACATGCGAGAGACACCATGGCTTGTGAGGTAAAGTACCAATTCAGCCAAAATACCTGGTGATGCTTCCATCCATGCCCAAATGCCTGCCTTTAGCCTGGAGCAACAAAATCCAGGGATGTTCACCTTTGTGGCTGAACCGAAGTTGGTGGCTGAAACCACTGGAATTGGTTTTAAAAATAATCTCAGGTGGTATCCCCAAAAGCCCCAGGAAAACCTGCAACCCTCCTTTTGAACCCTCCTGCAGACCACCCCAGAGCTGGTCTGAGCAGAGACCCCATGCTTTCTGCTGTTGGGGTGAAGCTCAATTAAGTAGAACTGTAAATACATGTTTCACAAAAACAAGGCACGATGATAGAAAACTAAAGATAGCACTATTGCTGATGGTATGCAACCAGGTAAACATACTAATGATAAGAACAACGAATGGGTGTGGCTCGCTTCAGGCACAAGGTAGTAGATAGATAACGTGGGGAGCATTGTTCTAGGGGTAACTTCCCCATTCTTTCCAGGGATCCTTCTTTCTAGAAAGCCACCAAAAACCCTGGGGACATGGCTGGTTATTGAAAAGAACGATGGCTGAAAAGAATGGGGAATCAACCCCCAGAATTGTGCCACCTACTTTCACACTGGTGTTCAGCTTGGTTCAAAGGGATATCACTAATATGAAGCAGCTACATCCCTAGGTACAATCAAACAGTCGAGAAAAAGATACCAGTACTGGCTCATGGTCGCGGGAAAAGACACGGCCCGCCCCGGTTTTGGAAACCCACCAAGGAAAAAGACACACCCCAAAATGGAAAAACACTTCTCACAAGGGGAGAAGAAAAAACCCAACAAAGAACACTACCAAAAAACAGGTGCAACCCATCCTGCGGCTTCTGTAGCCTTCAGGAATTAGTGGACCGTCGGGTTTGTTCGGGAGGCTTCCGGATCGAAAAGGTCGTCTTTTTTTTCTGGGCACTGGCAAAAGGGACATGAAACCCAAAAACCCAAAGGCCTCTTGTGAGAACGGAGCTCCGTTTGGGATTGGTTGACCCCCTGAAAGGCATTCCTTCCGTTTGTAGAGCAAAATTCGGGGAAGCGCCCCTTGAGAAAATTACTTCGCTCACAACTTGTCCGCAGAAAATCCGAACCCGGGTTGAACCAAGAGGTTGGGTTCAGTGCATGGAAAGCTCAGTTGTTCGCCAAGACAGCGCTCTGTTTGGCAGCAGGTGTCAAGTTTCCCTCTAGTTGTGGTTTGGCTTGGTGCTTTGAAGGTTGTGGTGTCAGGTGTTCAAATCTCCAAAGCGCACATCCAAACCACCAACAGGGATCCTTATATTATATACCTGAACATTGCCTTGTAAATGGTGGTGTCCCTTTACTTTGGTGGAAAAAGCCATGTTTCAAATGGGCAAAATGTATCTTTTAAGGAGCCCTGACCAACTATAGCCGGCTACCTTTAAAACTATCAGGGCCAAGAGCACCAGGCAAGCTCTTGCACGAAGCATGGAGCATGTTAGCGGGGTTCACCCGCTCGCAGCGTTTGATTGGGGCCTCCATCATAGAAAACACCAACTCTTCTCTACTAGGTCCCTCAGTAGTGCCCTTTTTTGAAACCAAGAACCGAAGGGGTCCTTTGCCAAAAGAGGAAAACTCACAGATCCACACGTTGCGACGGTCACTTCCCCGCTCCGAACTCTGAGCCCGAGCCGGCGCGCACGACGTTGGCCCCCCTCTCCCCGAGCCTCATGGTCCTTCATGTTGGTGATCTCCTTCACCTGCACAGCTGAGACGTTGGAAAGCGATTGGGCTGCAAAACCCAGAAAACCAGTATAATACAAAGAAAATAGCAAGCAAGCAAGCGAACGAACGAACGAATGAACAAACAAACACACAACGCGGGTTCGGAGACCCAAACGGAGAAAAACCCACCCCGAAATGGGGCGCCTGGATTTGCAGACTCGAAACTGGACTTTCCCTGGTTTCCATCGCACTTTGGTCCAAACGACGCGGTCAAAATCATCACCTGGGTGGGTGAGACCAGGTCATGCTCCAAAAAAACCGGAAGGAAAGGGGTTCCAAAGGCTCCTGAGGGAAAGTGGGGCCCCGGAAAGGAGCCGCCCTCTCTGGCGTGGTCGTTGGAGTAACTCTACGGCCCGGAGAGAAGCCAAGGGCAAGGGATCTCTTCGCGCTGGGAGGTCACTCAACCACCGGAAATCCCAAGGAGCCTTGCTCTTCAAAGGCCAACTCACAGATTGGTAAGTCGGCGAGGCCTTCAGACGGTATCAAATGGAGAAAACGCACACACAGACACACAGACACCTGGTCAGGCCACTGGGCGTTCTCATGATTTTCACAGGGTAACGTAGTGGGATCTGTGAAGAAACCCTAGTTTCTGATGGAATACCAACAATGGCCTCCACCATGGCTTCCAAACGCCGCCCGCGAAGTTGCACCCTGAGCCGCGCCCAGCAAGAGCCGCAACCCGCCAAAACCATCCCACATCACACCCGAAACCAAGCCGAACCCTAACCAAGCCCAACAAGACGAATTTACCCTAAACCAACCCTACTCCCAAAACCACCGCAAAAAAACAGCCAAGCTAAACCCTAAACCCAACCCCTAAACCAATCTAAACCATCCGAAACCAACCAACCAGAATCAACCTTAACCAACCCGAAACCAACCCTAAATTCACCTAGACCGACCCTGGACCAGCCCTAAAACGACCCTCGACCAACCCTTAAAGCCAACGCCACACCCACCCAAACCACCACAACGCCGCCACAGGATCGCACTACGGCCCATGACCCATTGAAGGAGGGGGGGTGGGGGGTGGGGGGCCTGGCAACGCTTGCACCATACTTATGTAGTTTATCATTTATCTAGTTAATTATTTATTTGTTCATTTATGTATCTAGTAATGTGTTGATTTATTTAGTTATTGATATATACATACATATATATATATATATATTGATTGATTGATTGATTGATTGATTGATTGATTGATTGATTGATTGATTGATTGATTGATTGATTGATTGATTGATTGATTGATTGATTGATTGATTGATTGCTTGCTTGATTGATTGATTGATTGATTGATTTATTGATTGATTGATTGATTGATTGATTCATTGATTCATTGATTCATTGATTCATTGATTCATTGATTCATTGATTCATTGATTGATTCATTCATTGATTGATTGATTGATTGATTGATTGATTGATTGATTGATTGATTGATTGATTGATTCATTGATTGATTCATTGATTCATTGATTCATTGATTCATTGATTCATTGATTGATTCATTGATTGATCGATCGATCGATCGATCGATCGATCGATTGATTGATTGATTGATTGATTGATTGATTGATTGATTGATTGATTGATTGATTGGTTGATTGATTGATTGATTGATTCATTGATTCATTGATTCATTGATTCATTGATTCATTGATTCATTGATTCATTGATTCATTGATTCATTGATTGATTGATTGATTGATTGATTGATTGATTGATTGATTGATTGATTGATTGATTGATTGATTGATTGATTGAAGATTTATTTATTCATTTGTTTATTTATTTTTTCATTTATTTATTTACTGATTTATTCATTTATTTATTTACTTATTTATTCATTCATGTATTCATTCATTCATTCTTTCATTCATTCATTCATTCATTCATTCATTCATTCATTCATTCATTCATTCATTCATTCATTCATTCATTCATTCATTCATTCATTCATTCATTCATTCATTCATTCATTCATTCATTCATTCATTCATTCATTCATTCATTCATTCATTCATTCATTCATTCATTCATTCATTCAGTTATTTGTGTATTTATTTATTTATTTATTTGTTTGTTTGTTTATTTATTTACTTGTTTGTTTGTTTGTTTGTTTGTTTGTTTGTTTGTTTGTTTGTTTGTTTGTTTGTTTGTTTGTTTAATTGTTTGTTACTTATTTATTGACTTATTCATAGACATAAATACAAACAACACGTTTGAGGGGCTTCACATGCGCCATCGCCTGGACATACAAGTTCTTGCGAAAGGGCTTGTACTCGATCTTGTCATGGTCCACCTGGCCAGTCACGTTCGGCGGGCGGTGCGCATTTTGTGGGGAGAACTTGCGTCATGTGTTTGACCCACTGCCATGTCTTGGTTGCTGTTGACCCCCCTGCAAAAAGTGAATAACTTTTTCGGGGTTTAGTGGAAAGCCAAAAAGTTAAAGTCTAAAGATCCAACCTAATAGCAGTCAAGATGTGTTTGGGCGCCAGACTGATCCGAGCTGCAAAAAGTGGCGTGACTTGCTGGCTGAAAGGGGGAGATGAAGGAAAACCCAAGGCGGAAAGTCTTGAAAAGCTGAGTCCGGCGATGGTGTTGGGAGGTGAAAACCGAAAGCACCTCGTCAAAGGACTGATTCCAAAACTCGAGCGTGCCATCTCCAGACTACTCAGTACATGTGTGTGTGTGTATCTGAAATGAAGCCCCAACATGCAAAGGCAACTCGCTGATTTCCTTGGGCCAGCTAGGGGCCGCTATATTTTGTTGAGGCAGACCAATGCGACCTTCGCTGGAATTCGCAAGCGCATCCCTGAGGACCGGCAGCTGCGTGGTTTTGCTCCGCTTGGTCACGATCGTGATCGTACCATCCGCCGCCCACATTGCTGTCTGCAACCAGCGTGCACGGGGAAGCTGCAAACACGTTGCAAAGATTGCGCTCGCAATCTCGCCTCCTCCACCTCTCTCACAGCCAGCGGGCCTTCGGCTTTGCCCTTCCCCTTGGGCGCCGCTCCACTAATTGCCGGAGGTGATGTGGCTGCGAAAATGCCTGCATGAACACGAGCACGAGCACCTCCCGCTAGTGAGCAGGTTCGCTTGGTCGAAGGGAGACCAAAAGGAAACCGACCTTTTTAGGGGACGAACTGTAAAACTCCCATATGGGCGCGAACTGCAATGGGGGACCCTTTGGTGGACATCATTTGGGTGGGGATTCATGTCCACCAACCACTTTTGAGGTGGTTCCCTCTTAAAATTCATAGCCATATACTGTTATATAGTGGCTATGTAGTGGCCAAATCAGGAACAAACTACTTGCCAAATCAGGAAGAAACGTGAAGAAACGTTCCTCCCCCCAGGCCTACCCACCCCCCCCCACGCCAAACCCCCCACATCCCCCCCCCCCCCAAACCCCCCAAATCCCCCCAAACCCCCCCAAACCCCCCAAATCCCCCAAACCTCTCAAACCTCCCAAACCTCCCAAACCACCCAAACCTCTCAAACCACCCAAACCACCCAAACCCCCAAACCAACCTCCCCAACCCCCCCCCGCTCAAGACGGGGCACCACGGGCAAGGTCTTCTTGGTGGTGAACCGCTTCACCAGGTCGAAGTAGCTCTCCATCTGCTCCTCGCTGGACTCCTCGCTCCTGAGACCGAGAAAACGTCGTGAGCGCCTTGGGCGGAGGAAGGAACCACTCCCATGACCCCCCCCCCCCCCGCAAAAAACATGAGTTCGCATCTTTTGACACACATTGATGTGTTGCAACTTGACTCTTGACGTGCGGCTGCGAATGTCGAACTACTCGCAAAGTTGCAAGACAAAGACTCAGCTCACAACTGGGACTGTAGGGAATCAGAATTTGGCAATCTCTGGGCATGTGCGGGTATCAAACTTTGAAAGAAAGGGGTCGGTTTATCTCCAAACATCATCTAATCATCTTCACGAGGCCATGGAGGGTCGCTTTGACAGCTTTACACCCTCTATGTTTGTACTGAACGCGGGCGATGGAAACAAAACTCGCTGCCTTGCCTTACCTCACCCTACCCTACCTACCCATCTCTCCAGTGACGAACCCGCTACGACCCTGAGTGAGGCCAAACCATAAACCGTTGCTCAAGTTCAGCCCTCATGAGTTCCCTCGTCGGGAAGCAGATGTCATTTAAACGTTTTCGCATTGTTGGGGCAACCCCAATTGTCCATTCTTACAAATATTTTGCCACCTGGATACTTGTGGTCTACTTTGCAACCACCTTCTTTTAGGGCTTTAGTTTTCTAGGGTTGGCCACATAGACTCGTGTCCATAGCACCCCCCCAGCTCCCGGCTGCCTGTCGGGGTCGCTGTCCATGCGGTCGCCGTCCCCCTCCCCGAAGCCGTCTTTGGCGCGCCGCGCCGCCGTCTCCGCCTTTGCCTCGCTGCGCCCAAAAATCGGAAAGACGCGGAAAGACGAGATGACGGTGCCCCGTCTGCAGTCCGTCTGGATGGACTGAAATCAGTTTTCTTTTTAGTGCTTCTTGGGGATGCACTGCATTCAGTTTTCTTCTTGGTGCTTCTTGGGGATGGACTGAATTCAGCTTCTTTTTAGTGTTTCTTTTTGCTTCTCTTGGGGATGGGCTGAATTCAGTTTCTTTTTAGTGCTTCTTGGGTGCTTCTTTTTTTTTCCTTTTAGTGCTTCTTGGGTGCTTCTTTTCTGGATAGACTGAATCTGTTTTTCTTTTTAGTGCTTCTTGGTTGCTTCTTTTCTGTTCGAGAAAGAGTGACCCTGTCCGAGGGAGTCTATCTTTTTGTTGCGTTCCACAGGAAGTTTTCACTGCACAGACAGGTCAACCCTTCTATGACTATTAATTCACTCGGGTGCCGTTCTCCTTTACCAACCCCAAAGAGGGTACCCCCAACAAAAGGCCACCCTCAGGCTTAACAGGCCCAGAAAAACTGGAGAAATGTTACGGACTCTTTAGAAAAGGAAGCTTTCAAAAATTGGACCCTTGCAAAAAGGCTGGTTTCCAAATGCCAGGAAGCAACTAGCCATTTGGCAGGAGCGGCTCTCAAACTCGCTTCCGTGAATTGGTCAACATAGAGTAACCCCCGACTTGTTGTTAGCCAAGTGACAAAGTTGGGTGGGTTCTAGGAAACGTAAGGAACACTCTGGCCTTCGCAGACCATGACACAAGAGCAGACCGGAAGCCCGCAGCGACGCTGAACTGAAAAGGTCTACCAACCGCTGCGGCTGGATTGGTCACAGCAAGTCTGAACTTGTTGTTGATCACTAAAATGTTCTTCCCCAAAACATTTAAAGTCCACGAACGCAGGAAGTGAGATTTAGATATGCTCCTTGTACCCCTTGTATTCAGAGAGATGCCTTTGCCCCGAAAATCCAATTAATTTCTGGAATCCCCAGGGGGGGTAGGTACAAGCGGGGGGGAGGTAGTTGAGAGCGTGTCAAACGGGTTCCTTAGGGTTCCCGAATCGGATTCCACGCTTTTGCAGGTTCTAAAAGAAGGGAAATCCGAATAACCAAAATAAATGTCGATAGAATATAGGATCTCCTCCAAATATTGGATCGAATAAAAGTGCCTTAGGATGAAGATCACCCAACATTAAAAGAAGTGTGACAGATAAGATAGATAACGTTGATACAAGCATGAATGCTGCAATCAAGAGAGAGAAAGGAAAACATGGGATAGTCTGTAATATAAGAGAATCAGATCTCAGATTTAGATGTGTTGTCCAAAAGTCAAGAGATGCAAGACATGAAGATATACCATAGATTAATCATCCAAATACAATGGTTCCTGTACTTGAAGGTGATAGAGTCATAAAAGAAATGGATAATGGTGGATGCAATGCCCATCCTGTACCACCTCCAAATTCTGAGATTAAAGAAAGGATTAGGAAAAAATATAAAAGAATGAGAACTATGATAGAACAAATATTGACTCTAGGATGTACCACTTCTGGAGATCCCCGAAAGATACGTACAAAATAATGTTCAGCTCCTCCAAACAAGCCAGGCATTACCAAAAGCCATGCAATGTAAAACTGGGTTGTTAAATACATCCAAGGAGGGGATGTATGATTGTGTCTCATTTGTTCGACTCCCCCAGAAAGATCTACCGCAAGTCTGCTCCCTGCGAACACACCGTACTCGAAGCGGGTGTTCCACAAAATAGGTGCCCCTCAAACCCGCAACGGCACCCTGCTGGTTTCCCTTTCAAACACCAAAATGGCGGCGTTCCTTTTGGTTTTCAATCTGCCTGATTTTGGGGATGCTGCTACCTGACTCTCTTTCCCAAATTCATGGACGCCAGGAGACCCTGTAACCCAACCTTGGTGCAAATGACTCTTGCCCCCTTCCCCCTTTTGCCATCGTCAAAAGAGCCCTGGGATTGCTGTCAACCTCTGGGCGTTTTGAAGACAGCCAATGTAAGCCTGGCCCGTTTTCGAAGGAACCGCAATGACCCAGTGCTTGGAAACCACTCAGATGCCCAGTAACAACGGGAAAAAAACGGGCATCCTTTTTTGGTTGGTTGACTTTAAAGGAATTGGAACCCAAAACCCCAAACAAAAAAGTAGAGAAAAAACCACCCCACCTGGGAAACCGCCTTTAAAGGGGAATCCTTCCCAAAAAAAAACTGGAAGAAAAAAAACGGCCCCCACCTGCGCCACCAGGGGAAACCACTCGAGGAACCCCCGAAACCCGAGCCCCGACCTCGGGGGCCCCCGAAACGAACTCGAGCCTTGGCCGCCGCTTCCTTCGCCTCCCGGCGCTTGCGCCGCTTCTCCTGGACCGGGCTGTCGCTTTTTTGGTGCTTGGGTTGTTGAAGTCCGCTCCAAAGAAACAAACTCCGTGTTGGCTTTTTGAGACCCGTTTCACTTTGGTTTGAAAGGGAGACCGAAAAGAAAAGGGAGAAATCCGGTTTCGGGCGCTTCTTGCCTTTTTGAGACCCTTTGCGCCTTCTTCAAAGGAAAGCCGGAAAAATGAAAAAGAAACAACGAAAAAACGAAAAAACGAAAAATCCGTTCGGCAGACCCACCCATCTTTCCCCTGGAAAACAACCTCACAAGCGGAAGCTCACTTTCAATCGGCCCAACAAGGTGCTGCACAAAACCCCCCAATGGAGACATCTAGGAACCTTGACTTGGGGAGGATTCAGTGACATCAACCATGGGAGTTGGATCAAAGCGACACTTTGGTCAAGATCAAACACCTAGGGACTTGGTTGACCTTAGTTGTCCCTTGACTTTGGGTTTCGAAAGCGCAAAATGGGAATCCTATTTATGTAAGTACCCACCAAACGTGCGTTTTTTGGAACAGGGGTGCTGCTGCAACCATCCAAAGAATCAAAAAGATGGAGTCCAAGGTGGAAATGTCCCCTTTCCTATGTGGTTGGTTGATAAACACTTTTGCTGGGATATCTTCAGCGGACCCTCGCCCCCATTTAAAGAAACAAATGTGGGTACCAACTCAAAAAAAAAAAGAAGACGAGCCACCCAAATGTCAAAAGGCCGTCCAAAAGCTGAAATCCAAAAGTCCAAGAATTTCGAATCACCGCCAAGAAGAAGACAATGGAAGCTACAACGGTCAGATGGTCACAAGACGTTGGCGCTTCAGGAGAATCATGAAATGAAATCTAGACCTCGGCAAGTCGAGGAACAGGGCTGAGTTGTTCAGCGTCTCACCCAAAACAAATACAGCAGGTCCAGCCAATGACATGGGAGGTTTGCCAGGTTTGGCCACCAACAGATCAAGCAAAGCTGCGCCAGCGCCTCTGGGCTGTTCTCAGATCCCCAGCTAAAGTCTGACTTTTAGTGGGTGACTGGAAATCCAACCACTAAACCAACTAAAAAGCTCCAAAACCCTAAAGGGACGGCTGGGAACCACCAAGGTAGCAGTTGGCAGTCTTGGGTCCCGACAATCCTAAGGCAATCCCCAAGCTCCGCAACGCGACTGCTGCAAGCTTTGGTAAGCGAAACTTTAGGCAAGCGTGCATTTGAGTCACAATCAAAACCCGGCATTAAAATGGTCGACCCAGAACCATGTAAAGAACTAAGAAGGCGGATATCCGCGACCATTTACGGCTGGGATCGCCCCTTACTAAGCTTCACTTACCCGGGTTTTGATTGTGGCTCCTTTGGGGTACAAGAAGACTAAACCGGACAAAGCTTCCCTTGCAGATGGTGGCTAGGTCCTGCAGCAGAGAGGTTAGAATAAGGGTACCAACTTTTTTCCGTAGTCTATTTTAGTGGGGGAACCCTACCAACCCAAAAAGAAACGGTGAAAGGGCACCTAGCTCGGGGACCTAGAAAAATCCCGAAACAAAAAAAATGCCGCATGGTGCAGGTGGGCAGCAGCTTGAGTCAGTGGTTGGACACTTGTGCAATACCGTGCTTGAGCTTCTACCCATGAGGGGCGGTCACACGGACAAAAGAAACATCAAAATTCAATAAGGGTGTGGCTCAAAAACACAACAAGGGTTTGCCTGTTCAAGCCATCCAAAAGGCAGTGGCTACTGTGGATGGGTTTAAAATCCACTTCACACCAGTTGGTCGGTGGTTTCTCCCGGCTCGGTTGCTTTCTGCTCCCTGCTAAAAGTTTGACTACCTTTTAGTGGTGTAATACGGAAAACCCATTAGTTGGCAAAAAGTTCAAGTCCTAACATCCAAGCAAAATGCAACAAAGAAAAGAAATATCAAAATACAAGAATTGTCCAGTTCGCAGGAAAGGACACCACCTTTGGATTTCATTTTAGCTGATGTAAAATCAGCCTTCGAGAAACAAATGAATCTGAATTGCTCTTGTTGATGAATGTAAAGGGGAAAGCAGGGGGAAGCCTTTAAAGCGAAACCACTTTATTTTGTAGCTTATCTATAATCTTCATTTTGAAACAGACCCAATAGCGGCAATGGACAGCCCGTCTTAAATTGCATTTCTCTGCGGGATGATGTCCGGACATATCAATTTCATGGGCACCCCTCTGACCCAGTTTGACTCACTACACTGGAAATAAACGGACCTCCCTTTCACATCACCCATCGAAAGCAAAAGCAAAAGACCACCATGGGAGAACGTGTCATTCCAGAAACACATCCTTACCCAGTCTTGGTCGCTGTTGACCCCGCTGCAAAACAAGCTTGCTGTGGGTCCAATGGGAAATCAACTGCCTCAAACAAACAGTTAAAGTCCAACGATCCAACCAAGTAGCCATGACCTCAGTTGTTCAGTGACCCTGGAAAAAAAGGGAACCTTTTTTGGGAAGACCATTTTAGTGGGGCAGCCACCAAAAAAAAGGGGAAGCCACTGAACAACTGAGTGACGCATTGATCTTGCCAGCTTCACCTGGACCAAACCCCCCCAGGCCTTCTTGGTTTCAACAGGCTTCTCCTGCGCACGTTCCGACACCCGCCCGAACTCCAGGCGTCGCTGAGAAAGAACACGCAAGAGTTGAGCAGTTTCCCCACAAAGGGGCATCCCTCGTTCTTGCTGGAATTTAGCATCTGATTTAGTGAGCGGGTTTATATTGCCATTGTCTTGTATTGACAACCTCTTCTTGTTTACCCTGTAAAGGAAGCCAAACTGCTTGTTTTGTTCGCACATGTTGCAACCAAGCCCGGGAAAAGGCGGACTAACCGCCTAACGTTCCCCGCCTGTGCGGGCGTGTCTGCCTGCATCTGCTCGTCCTGGCATATGGTCAAAGGTCCTTATTAGTTGGCGGCTTGGATTGGCGGTTTGAATTTGGAGTTGAACCCCTGATTCTTGTAGAGGGTAAATGAGGCAACCCTTGGCTGGTGGCTTGGATTGGCGGTTTGGATTTGGAGTTGAACCCCTGGTTCTTGTAGAGGGTAAATGAGGCAACCCTTAGCTGGTGGCTTGGATTGGCGGTTTGGATTTGGAGTTGAACCCCCCGTTCTTGCAGGGGGAGGGGGGGGGTGGGGGAGGGGGGGCCGGGAGAGGGCAAACGAGAAGCCCCTCCTCAGCCACCAAGCCGCCAATCCAAAGCGCCAATTGAGAGTTACCTGAGAATGTGTGGCAAACCGGCGAAATCGGCTGCGCACACGGACCAGGTCTCTTCTCGTGGCAATATCCAGTCTACCTAAACCTTTGCAGAATGCAGCAGCATGAGCATGTATGACTTATGGGATATTGGGAACTCCAGAAGAAAATAAAAAAGTGCCTCTGCAGCGGATTCCTTCGGAGGTGCTTTGGGATTTGCTCGGCTCAAGTTGTGAGGGAATCTCCAAACTGCTGCAAGCACCTTGCCAGATTTGCACGCGCATTCAAGGGAACCCGTGTTCTTCGAAACGCCACGGGCAACTGCTCCCTTCTGTCCAGGAGTACTTCCTTTAAACAAAGGATCCCTAGCAAACACAACCTTCCAGGGTACGGTTGCAAATACAATTCTCGCAAAGCCACGGTCAATATTTATTCATCGAGCGACAATAGAATTCGGTGAGTAAACTCCAGCTTCTGATGGTCATTTCGTGAGTGTCTCCAATATCATGTCATTCCATCTGCCACACAAAACGAATATTTAACCGTTGCTCACATGGATCGTGGACATTTGCTTGCTCAAAGGGGCACTCTTGGACCTAGCAATGTAGAAGTGTCCATCGCACGCTGAAATCCTTTTAAGTAAATGCCTCATTGGAAATGGACGGCCCGTTCTAAGGACACTCTTTACGAAGTGTGGGCTTCTTGCCTGAATTGGGACCCCGGAAAATTGCCAGTTTTCTTTGGACTTCCCTTCACCAATCTGAGGGCACTCTCATATTGGCATGCAGGCTGGGGTTGAATTTCTCAGCCAGCCGCATACAGGAGTCTTTGGGTAGCTGGGGCACGTGATTACTTCATTGACCTTACCACTGAACCTGTACAGAAGAAAATGTATGGAAGATGAAATGACAGATGTGTTGCTGCCGGTCTTCGGGGCTGACGCAAGACCGATGTCGCCCAAAACACCGGCGCATGGACAAATCCATGGACTCCCATGGTCAGAATGCCAAGAAACCCATGTTCACACCTTTCTGACTGGGGGCTCCTGAAACTCTGAAACTCATGAGACTAGATGACTGGAGGCTGGTTTTTGGATTGGGTTCCAAATCCCATGGGTCCAAGACCCTCCAATTTGGAGGGTCTTGGACCCATGGGATTTTTGGACCCCAATCCCAAAAGCCGCGGCGGCTCTTCCGAATCTCCTGGAGCCCTTCCCTTGGGCTCGTGGGTGGCTCGGCTTCTTTTTGTACAGAACCCCCCTATTGAAAATTGGTTTTTTCAAGGGAGCCGAACTCCGAAAGGACAAACTCTTCTAAGGGGATGTACAAAAATGGTCGTAATCCCAGAGCCGCTTCGTTAGGGAAATCCCTCTTGAGCCATAATTCTAGGGGCCGATTCCTTTTTCCTTCTTTCCAACCCTCGCTCTTTCCAACCGGATCCGTTTCCCTGGGTTCTGACTGGGGGAGGCAGCACTCGAATTTGGGGGTCCAAATCCAAACAGCCGAGCCGACGGCTCGCGGCCAGAGGTGTCCCTTTAGGGGGAAAATGGATGGGTTTCCCTGGTGGATGATTGAACCCCCAGGTAAAAGCGGATCGCCATGCAAAACAACCAAAACAACCAAAAACTAGCAAAACTCCCTGGCTGTTTTAGCCAGGAGTTTCGCCACCAGATGTTTTCTATCAAAACAACCAGAAAGGCCACCTCTGTTCGCGTCGCGCCTCCACCTTTTCGTCTTCAGCTTCTCCCTCGGCCTCATCCTGCCAGGTTCATCCGCCCGCGCTCCCGCGCACCGACTCGCCGGGTGCGCGGGCAAAAGAGGCAGACTCAACACCTGGGTGTCTAATTTTTTGGGTCCTCCAGTGGAGAGGTTAGAATAAGGGTGCCCGATTTGTTTTCTGTGGTCTTTTGTTTATTTCTGTAGTCTTTTTTAGTAGGGGAACCCTCACAACCAAAAAAAGGTCAAAGGGCACTACTGGGGGACCTAGATTTTTTTGTGGGGGGAGAGCCGCCCACAAAATGGCTTCGGTGTTGCTTTTTTGGTGTCGCTTTAAAACCACCGGTAAAAAAGTAGCCTCCAAAAACGGCGAGCCACTCAATTGGCAGGTTGTTTCAATCATCTCTGCCATGACGCTAGTAGAAGTCCAAAATCAAACACCCGGTCGTATCAGGAGTCCAGACAAAAACATAGACATCCCCACGAAAATCCTCGAGAATCGGCCGTGACGTGGGTAAAAATCGGGAAATTCCTTGTTGCAACCTTGGGGCAATAGATCAATAAATCAACAAAAATCTCGGTACTTGAGCAGCGCCCAAAACCCAGTGACTGGTTGATTCAAACCAAGACGCTTGCAACGGATATTTTTCCCCCAGCAGTCCAAATCTGGAAGCTATGGCAGCAGAAAACAGCTCGGGCGCGGATCTTGGGGGAGGGGGTGAGCACGCATGCATATATATATATATATATATATATATGCTACCCCCCCCTCAACGACTCTGTTTTTTTTGGTGCAGCGAGTGCTTGACTGACATATGGTAGCAGATGATTTACTTGTGTTTGATTGACAGGTGACAGCAGAAGATTTATGTGTGTGTTTTTTTTGGTGCAGTGAGAGCTTCATTCAGTGGAACTTTACTTGGAAAGCAGGCAGTGAGACTCACTTCGCGCTTTTTTGTTTTCTGCTGCAGAAAACTCTCCCTATTTCTGCACAAAAGGAGCCATTGCATCCTTCACCAGATCTCCAGTTTTGATCCAGAGATCTTGGCCCCGCATCCAGTACTCATACTGGGCTGAACGAATGCGGCTCCTGATTGCTTTGGACCCAGCTCGAACCCTTTGGTTCAATTTTAACCGGTCCTTAATAAACCGCCAAGCCCTGTCCACGTGTTGGGTGCCTGCTTTTACCTTCAGCTGGGTTCCATCCCGGAGCCTGTGAGTCACCACTCGCACGTATTGCGGGGAGCTCCATTTCTTTTTCCCATTCTTGAGTGTGATCAGCTTCTTGCAGTGGACAACTGAGTCATGGTGCACGCCATCCACCTTGGCCTTGTAGGACTTTGCCGAGTCCGTATGCAGGATGACATGGCGGCCCTGCAAGTGCTTCTTGGCTAACGGGGCCCAGTCAATTTTGCGGATTGCCCCCGGCCCCGGAGCTCTCCGCACCGTCAAGGCTGGGCTAAGGCGTGACATGATGAGTGTAGATGGCTTGCCGCGGGCCATCATGCCACTCCATTGCTCCCACAGGATGGGCTTGCCTGCCTTGACCGCCTCCTTGTACGCGACGTCCTTGGTCATATCTGCTTTGTCAAAGGCGCACTCATCAGCTTCCACATCCTGCCACTGCTTCTTGCCACCAAAGGAGATCTTCTTCTCCTCCTGCTCGACAAAGAGCTGCCTGGTATGCGCTAGGCTGGATCTCATTTTTTCAATGAGCTTGTGATTCACACCCAAGGCCAACCTGATCTGGGTGTGGGAAGCACCAATGAGGATCATGAAGAGAACTGCCGCCTGCATCTGCAAAGGAGTAGAGCCAGGGCCACGGCCAGTAGTGAAGAAGGGATGCAAGTGCAGCGGGCTGACAATACGTTTGCAATGATAGTTGTTGCATTGGTACTTTGCACTGCCGCAATGCATCTTGGATGCAAGAGTGCCTTTCCAGCATTGGGGGCAACGCTTACCGTGCCATTTTGGAAGGATGCCGTCCTTTTCCAAAATCTTGGTAATCCCACTGTTGCTAGCACCCAGGATCTCAGCGAGGTTGCGCTTCCACTTAGCTCGATCCATGCGAACACCAGCTGCTGGTACATCTCGGTGACCTCGCACGTACTTCACTTTGTTATACTCCTTGCTCTTCTTCGTGGCTGGCCTCTTGTGGACACGACGGAGCTTCCCCCGCTTGCTCACAACCCCGGGGTTGAGTCGAGCTGCCATGTCACAATCGCAGTAACTACGAGCCCTAGGTGATTCAATGGCAACACAGTGCAAGGCAAGTCGGAAATCAATCAAGGTTGCACTTGCAATTGCAGTCTTGCAGCGAGCTTATTTTTGTCCGCGGGCACACAGCTTTCATCTTTGAATTTGAATTTTATGGCAGTTTAACCACTACTCACCAAGCAAGAGTATAGATTCTCGCAGCATAGCCCAACACTCAGAACTCAAGCAGGTTCACGCTCTAGTCGTGGAGAAAGTGGCTTGCATCCTCGTCTGCAGCAGTGTCCTCCATGTCGGCTGTTTCTGCTGCAGCCAGAAGCTCTTCAGGCTCTGCACATTGGTCGGCATTTTGCGGTTGTGGATCACCAGAGGCAACAGATGAGGCTGCTCCTCCCCCGCAAGAGATGAGCAAGCTCGTTTTTTGCCGGAGGCGCTTGTCCGGCTTGGAGTCTGGGTAGATGAAGTCGCCCTCTCGCAAGCGCTTTGGCGCGTTGCAGCCGATGTTGAGAGACACCGGCGGCAGGAGAGGCGGGTCCTCTGAAGACTGAGAAGTTGGCACAAAGGAACTCTCTGGGATGCGTGCCACCTGCTTGAGAGCTTCTTTGAGATCTTTGTTGCATCTCTCCACATAGTCTTGTGCTCGGCCTGCCTGCTGTAGCTTCATCATGCCTTCATCGATGATCTTCTGCTCCTTCTCCACCTCGCTCTCATAGTAGCTTCCCTTCACCATATCACCCAGCTTGTACGCAGCATACACAGGCTTGTCCTTGGTGGCAAGGAGATCTTTGTGAACATCGTCTGCCACAATGCGATGGACAAGGGCACCATAGTTGGGGGACGGGAAGCGCAAGTAGAGACCATTCTGCCCGAAGACCATGACAATTGTCCGCTTAAGCACTGCCAGCACGTCTGCTTGCTTGGACTCTGGAAATGTTTTGCGGAGCAACTTGAAGAACTCGTCGGGCTCGATGTCACTGCGGTAGGTGTCCTCAGGCTCATCCCCCTCACCGATGTCGTTGGAAGCATATGCCCTCATGCCATTTCTGACCAGCCTGACATCATTGTACCTGCCTGAGCAAGTCTGGTCTTCATCCGCAGTAAGGAACGATTTCATGTCGGCTAGATCGATCTTGTCCCTGGAAGGATCATCGAGAAAGACGGCCTCTTGTACCTGGGGGACTCGATGCCTGAAGTCGTCGAGAGATTTGGCTCGACGCCAGCCCGGCGAGGCTGTCAAAGAGAGACGCCGGACGTGGTAACGTCCAATTGCCATGGCAAGGGTGATCAAACAGGGTGTCTTGCCGACGCCTGGTAAGCCCACCATCATGATGCCATAAGTCAGCAACATCGGCATAACCATTGGCAAAAGAACATCAGACATGAAGGGCTTCAAGCTGAACATGGTGAGGGGGAAGTCAGTCTCAGGCTGCGCTCCGGCCAGGCCACGGCTTTTGTTTTGAGCCATGAATCTGACCTTTGCTTCTGGCCACCCAGAAACTGGTGTGCCAGAGCCCTCCTTGATGGAACATAGGATCCAATAGGTCTGTTCATTCTGCGAGTCACATTCTGGTGCATTGGCATTGATGAACAAGATGCCCTCCTTAAGCGCCTCGTCATCAGGTGCCCACTGAGAAGACTGAGCCCTTTGGAGAGGAGCCTTTTTTGTCAGGCTCGCCCACATCACGCGAAAGCCGGGAAGACGATCCAGTAAGGACTGGACAGCTTTGCGATGCGCCCATGGCCCAGGGCGTGACACAGGCACGAAGCCCTCTCCTGTGATCAGGCGCTGGGCGGCAGCAGCAGTGATCTTGTTGGCGAAGTGCAGAATTTTGATCAGAGACATTGTTCCATCATGGTGGTTTTCGATGATGACGCCCATGGTTGCCTTGGGAGGAAGAGGCCCTTGAAGACGTAGTGGAAAGGGTACATCTGCGATGTTGCCTTGTGACAGAAGCTCCCCAATCTGAGCAAGACCGCTAAATTCTGGCACATTCTTGTGGACATCGAAGGCTATGGAGGTCACTTTCGCTTCGTTCAAGTTGCGACATGAGTTGTCCAAGAAGTCTGACAAGAGGATGGGTTCTGAAATTTCCCCACGAGAGTGCCAAGCCATTTTGGGGGTGGTGTGGGTCTCATACACCCACTCTTTGCCGGAGTGTAGGGCCATGGCATCGTCTAACATGCTGGACATGGAATAAGAAGATGGTGTGCCTTAGGGGCAACTACTTGGGAACTCTAAGCTGGAAAGCAACAGGTTCACATATCAAACTCAGGAATGTCATGCATTCGTGCAAGCCATGATGTCCTGCTGCAAGCTACCACATCAAAAGGCAACCAAAAGCAGACATCTTTTTTGTCACCTCTCACAGGAGCAGATCCGGACAAGAGTATGTGCACATGTATAGTACCGTCTGCCAATGATGGCTATGTTACTTACAGAAGATTCTGAATACAGCTTGACAGCTATACAGGCTTCTACTTCCTGGCCCTCTTTGAGGCACGCTCCTCAGCCAAATGTGCCCTAAGCTCTTCAAGTTCGCACTCATATTGTTGAATGTCACCCTCCAAGATCTCAATGCGAGCGTGAGCCTCTTGCAACTCAAGCTCCTTGAGCTCGAGTTGCGCGGAGACACTCTCATTGTGAGCTCGTGTGGGCGTAGATGAATCTGAAGACGACGAGCTTGAAGAGGAGGAGTCGTCGCCTGAGTCCTCAGAGTGACCTTGATTATTCTCAGGCATGTCTTGGTCTTGGTGGGGTGGCTCTTGACTGGAGAGGCCCGCATCCTTTTCGGAGATCACCTGCTGGTCCTCAGACACGTCCTCATCCTTTTCGGAGATCCCATGGTGGTCCTCGGAAACACCCTCATCCTTTTTGGAAACACCCTGCTGGTCCTCAGACACGTCCTCATACTTTTCGGAGATCCCATGGTTGTCCTCGGAAACACCCTCATCCTTTTTGGAGACACCCTGCTGGTCCTCAAACACACCCTCATCCTTTTCGGAGATCCCATGGTGGTCCTCGGACATGCCCTCATCCTTTTCGGAGGTCCCCTGGTGGTCCTCGGCCAACTGCTGCTCTTGCTGGACTGGGGCGTCTTGGATTGGCAGCGGGTCCTGGGTGTTTGCGTCCAGGATGGCCAGCTGGTCACGACGCTTGCGTCCCCGAACATGGCCCTTAGGTGCTTGCAGGTCACGTAGAAGCTTCTCGTGACACTCCTCTGTCCACCTGCCCATGTGGCCCAAGGGCTCGATGTTCAGAGTTTTCTGTGTGTTGCACATCATGGAACGCAAGGCGCGTTGATGCAATGGAAGCCGGCTGTCATGAATTTTGATTGCTCCGCGTTCGTGTTGTTCAAGAACTTCATCTAGAGTGACCCGAGGCTTCTCCTTGTCGACTTTGTAAGCTTGGGATGAAGCAGGGCTAGACGCTGGTTGGATTCGCAGCTCGGCTGCGCCATTGGAGAACCTGACCTTGCCAACCACGTCAAACGAAGCCATGGCAGAAAGAAGGAGGAGACAGACAATAAGGACTTGAGCTGCCTGAGAGCTGAATATAGCAGAATTTCGACTCTCTTGGCAAGATGCAAAGGCCAAGTCTGAGCGGAGGAAGGGAATAAGGGGAATAAGGATCCTTATTCCCTTATTCCCCTCAAACCCAAGAACCCAAGAACCCAAGATGCACAGAGGACTTTTGGGAGCAGTCTTGGGTTTGAAGGTAGAAACGGGAATAAGTGGAATAAGGATCCTTATTCCCCTTATTCGTCTCAAACCCAAGAACCCAAGAACCCAAGATGCACAGATGACTTTTGGAAGCAATCTTGGGTTTGAAGGTAAGAACGGGAATAAGCATCCTCATGTCCCTTCCTTTTTTCGTGGGCTGCCAACCCAAGATTGCTCCCAAAAGTCCTCTGTGCATCTTGGGTTCTTGGGTTCTTGGGTTTGAGGGGAATAAGGGGAATAAGGATCCTTATTCCCCTTATTCCACCCCTGGGCTGACAACCCAAGATTGCTTCCAAAAGTCCTCTGTGCATCTTGGGTTCGTGGGTTCTTGGGTTTGAGGGGAGTAAGGGGAATAAGGATCCTTATTTCCCTTGTTCCCCCCTGGGCTGACAACCCAAGATTGCTTCCAAGATTGCTTTCAAAGTCATGCAGCCAAAAAAATCAGAGTCAATGGGGGGGGGGGGTACCATATATATATATATATACATATAGTATCAATATAGAGTATCAATATAGAGTATCAATATATAGTATCAACATATATATATATAATATCAATATATACATATGTATATATGCACATGTGTATATATATATATATATATGTATAACCTTACCTAACCGCCCTTCAACCCAAGTCGTAGAACCGCCTTCTGAAACAGCCAATGTGTTTCTGTCCACCGTCCCAGTCAGCCGCAGACGGCGGTGCCAGCTGGCAATGAGCGCTTGGCTTCAACTTCAGAGGGACCTTTATGCCAAAAGGAACGAGGGGTCAAAACCCAAACCAATCCAAACCATCAAATTGGTGGTCCCACATAAATGGAGTTCGAAGAAAAATGGTCCCATTTTTTGGGCTTAAATGGAGTTCTAAAAAAATGTTGCGGTTGGCAAAACAGGGTCCCCATGAGCTACTCCAAGGTCTGGGGACCTTTGCACCTCGCCTGCACGTCGTCCTCATCATCCGCCTCGCCTTGGCCTAGGCGCGAAGCGTGAGGCGACATGTTCAGGAGTGCCAGTC